GTACCCAAGTTAGGTTCAAATATTGTTTTGAAAGGTACAAGTTTTTATACGACCGCAAAAAAATTTTGTGGTCGTATATTGGTATGACGTTGGCGTCGTCTTCATCGTCCGAAGACACATTGGTTTACGCACTCTAACCACAAAAGGAAGGTTGGGATTGATTTTGGGGGTTATGGTATAAACAGTTTAGGAATTAGGGGCCAAAAAGGGGCCAAAAATAAGCATTTTTGTTACTTCCAGACATTACTTATGTCTTAGTGTATGGATCTCTCTGACATTGTACCACAAGGTTCCATATCACAAAGGGAATGCTGGGTTTGATTTTGGGGGTAATTGCCTCAAAATTTTAGGAAGAAGGGGCCAAAAAAAGGGGCAAATAACAAGCATTTTTCTAGTTTCATGACAATAACTTGTGTGTAAGTGTATGGATCTTTCTGAAATTGTACTAGAAGGTTCCATATCACAAAGGGAAAGCTGGGTTTGAGTTTGGGGGTAATTGCCCAAAACATTTTGGAATTTGGGGCCTAAAAACAAGCATTTTTCTAGTTTCCTGACAATTACTTGTGTTCAAGTGTATGGATCTCTCTGAAATTGTACTGCAAGGTACCATACCACAAAGGGAAGGCTGGGATTGATTTGGGGGGTTATTGCCTCAAAATTTTAGGAATTAGGAGGCAAAAAGGGGCAAAAAACAAGCATTTTTCTAGTTTAAGGACAATAACTTGTGTGTAAGTGTATGGATCTTTATGAAATTGTACCACAAGGTTCCATATCACAAAGGGAAGGCTGGGATAGAGTTTGGGGGTGATGAATCGTAATTGCCCCTAACGTTTAGGAATTTGGGGCCAAAAAGGGGCCTAAAAACAAGCATTTTTCGAGTTTCCAGACAATAACTTGTGTTCAAGTGTATGGATTTCTCTGAAATTGTACCGCAAGGTACAATACCACAAAGGGAAGGCTGGGATTGAGTTTGGGGGTGATGAATCATAAGGGGGTTCAAAAAATTTTGGGGGGGGATTTTTTTTTCCTTTTTTTTCCTTTTTTTTCTTTAAAATTTTCCATTTTAAATTGGTTATTTCTGATTTATATATAAAAGCAAATAATAATGATATGGTTTGAATAGGTAAATTAAAATTTTTTAAGTTCTTAGACCACATTCATTCTGTGTCAGAAACCTATGCTGTGTCAAATATTTAATCACAATCCAAATTCAGTGCTGTATCAAGCTTGAATGTTGTGTCCATACTTACCCCAACTGTTCAGGGTTCGACCTCTGCGGTCGTATCAAGCTGCGCCCAGCGGAGCATTTTACTAAATAATTGCTTCCAAAGGAACTGTTGACATTTAAAAACGGCAACTGAAATGTGGGATAAAAAATGTTCCCTAAATGATGCATGGCTAAATATAAACCTGTCTTGACAATGATTAAAGGAACAAACGGTCTAATGAAGATGTTTATAAAATGGAGTTTTAAAGTATTGATGGTCATGATGGTTAGGTTCCTTTCTCAAAAGAAACAATATTAAAGACTAAGCAATGCTAAGTGATATAGCTAGGCCATTTATAGAATTGTTGTTTAAAACTGGAATGATATGTAAAGGGTATACTTCCTGGGATACAATTACATGGATAATCACGGATGAGACTGTACTTAATATAACCAGGAACTTATATTGTGACAAAAAGTACAATGAAAAAATAAAACAAGCAAATAACAAACATTTTATTTCATAATTTTATTATTCATAACAAATACAATGAGACTACTACAGTATATTTCTCTAAAATTAGTACGTTCAAAAACTATACACATTAATTGTTCCTTAAAGTCAGAAACTACCTGTATTAATTTAAGAGAGCACTTTTGTCCTCTCCCTTCGAGTGGTCTCTTAATACAGGTATGACTGTATATTTCTTTAAAAACCCTTCATCTAAGATCAAAAGTTAAGGAAGCCATATACATTTGTACATATTTTGGGTAGTATTAATTAAAAGGACTTATATTGTATATAGAACAATCAGAACATTGTAAGCTTGACTTTACACGTGTTACAGGCAACAAATACTTCAGAAATGGTGATACATGTATTTTTTTGCGGTCATATATTGGTATGATGTTGGCATCGTCGTCGTCGTCCGAAGACACATTGGTTTTCGCACAATACCTTTAGTTTAAGTGAATGGATCTCTATGAAATTTTACCATAAGGTTCAATACCACAAAAGGAAGGTTGGGATTGATTTTGGAGGTAATGGTACCAACAGTTAAGGAATTAGGGGTCAAAAAGGGGCCAAAAATAAACATTTTTGTAACTTCCAGACAATAACTTGTGTGTTAGTGTACGGATCTCTCTGTACCACAAGGTTCCATATCCCAAAGGGAAGGCTGGGATTGATTTTGGGGGTAATTGCCTCAAAATTTTAGGAATTAGGGGCCAAAAAGGGACAAAAAACAAGCATTTTTCTAGTTTCGGGACAATAACTTGTGTGTAAGTGTATGGATCTTTATGAAATTGTACTACAAGGTTCCATATCACAAAGGGAAAGCTGGGTTTGAGTTTGGGGGTAATTGCCCAAAACATTGAGGAATTTGGGGCCAAAAAGGGGCAAAAAACAAGCATTTTTACAGTTTCCAGGCAATAACTTGTGTTCAAGTGTATGGATCTCTCTGAAATTGTACTGCAAGGTACCATACCACAAAGGGAAGGCTGGGATTGAGTTGGGGGTGATGATCATAAGAGGGTTCAAAAAATTGGGGGGGGGGGGATTTTTTTTTTCCTTTAAAATTTTCCATTTTAAGTTGGTTATTTTTTATTTATATATGAAAGCAAATAATAATGATATGGTTTGATTTCATCAAAAATTGAAATATTGGGGTTCTTTGATATGCTGAATCTAAACCGTGTATTTAGATTCTTAATTTTTGGTCCCATTTTCAAATTAGTCTACATTAAGGTCCAAAGGGTCCAAAATTAAACTTAGTTTGATTTTAACAAAAATTGAATTCTTGGGGTTCTTTGATATGCTGAATCTAACCGTGTATGTATTTAGATTTTGGATATTGGACCATAATAGGTAAATTAAAAAAATTTTAAGTTCTTAGACCACATTCATTCTGTGTCAGAAACCTATGCTGTGTCAAATATTTAATCACAATCCAAATTCAGAGCTGTATCAAGCTTGAATGTTGTGTCCATACTTGCCCCAACTGTTCAGGGTTGACCTCTGTGGTTGTATCAAGCTGTGCCCAGCGGAGCATTTTATTCAATTATGAATTAATTTTGACATGACACAAACAATTACAAATCCTGAAATGCACAATTATGAAATTTCGACTTTTTATTATGCATAGATCTTAGTTGAGGGATACAGATTCAAAGGATCCTGTAGTTCAGTTATAATTATATATGTATAATTAACATATTTAGTTCAGTAGTTCATTTTATGTCAGCAATTTTTTATTTTTGTTTTAAAGTTGACATTATCTAGTTGTCAAAGTGTATAATCAATTTAGTAATCAATTTCAGGGACTTTACCTAATCACTAATTTTATAAATTCACTGTCATTGACTGATACATATGTCTGTGGGTATTTTGTTTGTGGTATTTACACATGTATCCTTCTGATTGTTGTCTTAACACTATCTAAAAAATGTCAGGGTTACTGGTACAGAGAAATCAATATAGATATAAGGTAATCATAGGCTAAGACAGCTCATTTATAATAGGATAGAAGGTGTAATCAGAGTAGATGATGCACATTTACATGTAATTGGTTAATGGCAGATAAAGTGGAAATCCTCAAATTAGGATTATAATTATGTTCAAGAAGTATTGGTGTTATTAAAATGATCGTTAGCTTTAACAGTTTTTGTAAGGTTATTTAATACTGCTGATTATGTGAACATGAATTAGAAAAATAATTATTCAACTGGCATGATGCTTGCATGTGATACCAGTAATGATGAAAGAGCAATTACTGGATCTTTTGAAGGTCATTGAAGAGAAAAGTAAATTGAGGTGAAGTTAGAAAAACATTCCTCTGCCTCCCACGCAGTTACATATGCAAATTCATAAAACAATGGACATAACTCATTTAGATTGATTGATTGATTGGTGTTTAACACCACTTCAGCACTATTGTACAATTATGTGGTGGTCAGTTAATATTAGTGGAGGAATCCAGAGTGTCAGGAGAGATCCATCGACCTTCGGTAGGAAAACTGAGAATCTCAGTCAATTAAGGTTGGAGTTGAGGGTACCTGCAACGTGTGGGATCCAAACTCACAACCTCAGTGTTGACAGACTAGTGATACAGTAGTTTGACTTCTTTTACCACTTGGTCACTGAGGACCCTAACTCATTTAGAGTAAATGTCAACTTTTTCATAACCAAACTAAACATTTCTTTTGTTGTCCATGACATTGTATGAAAATTTAAAGTACATGTTCTATGAGAAGAGGTACTGTAAAGCAACTAATTTTCACAGCTGTGATAAGTAAAAAAAAAACACGTATATATAGAAGTGTCACAAATATTACATAATAGGATCTTCGAATTCTCTTACAACAATACATTGAAAAAGTTAGGAAGCTGCGAAAAACATTGTTTGTCGTGAAGTTGGCAAGAAAGGTCTAAACATAATTAAAAGTATCTGCAAAAATAAGTAGTCTGTTTACAGTTATGTAATTAATTGGAAATCAAAAGTAATGAACGCATACAGGGATAGGATTAGAATGAATAAAATAAATGGAATCGTTGGGCTAAAGTCAGGGAGTCAGCAACCCAACAACAAATAATCAAAAAGACACCAATATACTATCTTCAATGATCATGATGATAGAAAATTGTCTATACCATATACATCAAGATCTTCTTATTTGTATTACAATTGAAGGATATTTTGTACATATTGTCATCTGAGGCTGTCCTATAAAAAAATATTAGAATTGTTATTGGTAGGAAAAACAAGAATGTATGTAAAATTGCTTTTGATTGTAGAGTTTCTTTGGATTCGGCCAGAGTGCTGAAATAGACATTGTTCTAGATGGACAAGACGCAAGAAAAACAGCAGAAATAAAAACAGAAGATGGTAAAAAAGAAAGACATTATTTGTATTATGATGGAGAAACTGTTGCTGGAAAGGTAATTTATTGGTCTTATCTTGCTAACAAAAACAGAAACTTTACATGTATGTATTCTATTTTAACTAATGTGGAAGTGAAAAAGCAAGAAAACAACACTGATTAAATGAACAAAACAAATAAAGATCAAGCTGAACATTCAAAAACAATTCTGTTTTTTATTCTATTTTGCTAAGTTAAATATCTATGACTATACCTACACAGAGGCAAAAGTACACATATTACATGTAGAATGAAAAAAATATAAAACTCTGTAAACATTGACATTTTTTAAATAAAAGACTAGGTAGAAGATTTCCCCAAACAAGCCTGTGATAGATAAAATAGAGATTATTTATGTAAATAAAGCAAGGCCTATGGAAGACAATGCAAAAAATGTGTGATGTGTGTGTTGTTGTTGCAGGTTAATGTGTCCATGAAGAAAGCAGGAAGTAAAATGGAACATCAAGGGATAAAAATAGAATTTATAGGCCAAATAGGTTGGTATGGTCACTGATAGTACAGCAGTAATATCACAATCACAACTGTTAACTAATATAACATTTCTAATTTATAGACTTTATTTTTCTTCAGTTAGTTCAAATTTGACAATGTTTGAGGGCCACTACACTTTATCAGTTTGAGAAGTGTTCTCTTTGTTAAGTGATATTAGATAAGGTTAAGTGTTTGAGGTGCATTTTGAAAGAGTCTTTTTAAGTGAGAAAATTATATGTACATGTAACTGAAAGTATTTCACTCAATACATGTTAAAGCCTTATTTTGTACATGAATAGAATTTATAAAAAATAATTGCCAGGGACTTCTGACTGGTAGAAGAAAGATTTTGGAATAATTAAGTTCATTGTTTTTTTTTTGGACTAAAGCAGTAAGCAGAAATACATTATTTCAAGTTTCTGTAAGATTTAACCTCAATGACACTGACAAAGTTGACAGTTGATATTGTATTAGAAAGTTTTAAAGTGTTGTTGAAAAATCCATTTTGCATTAATGGATAATACATCAGTCACGTATACAAATCTATAGAAGTTAGCACTTGAATAAAAAGTCAAGGATAACAATCAAAAGTGGTACATTCATTTTTGGCCGGGTTGGACAAAGTCCAAAACAGGCTTATAGTATGATGATATGTGGCAGACGTGCAGGTGGGCGGGGAAAAGTGGATACCTAGTTTGTGTAACCCAGCCATTTGAGTCTTTGATCTATTTTTAGAAATGTACTATGATAGAGGTAACCATCATGAATTCACATCATTAGTCAAAGAACTAGCCAGACCTGGAGAACTAACATCTAACACAAGTTATGGTTTTGAATTTTTACAAGTAGAAAAACCTTATGAATCTTACACTGGTGCTAATGTCCGGTTACGGTTAGTATTTAATTTACATACCACTTAAAATAAATATGAAGTTATCTTTTTACACACCTTTATACTACCTTCTGTCCATGCATCAGTCTATTTTAAGTATACCTCTCTCTTACTCAGGTATGTCTGAGTATCCGTATACTTTGTGAAACTTTGAAACTTTCATCATTTCACTAAGACCTCACATGAGGCATGATAGTACAAACAAACAAGATTTTTTGATAATATTAATGTCATCGTCCAGAGTTATTGAACTTAGCTTGACCCAAAGAAATGTGTTTCATTTTATAACCTTAAGAAATGACTACTTAAGGGCTGCCCAGGGAAAGCAATTCAAAAATAGAGTTTTAATACCAGCTATAGAAACAATTTTAGAATTTTATTTACCTTTTCATATAATACAGAAAAGTATTCTATACCCACCCTGGTGGAGATTTCAAAGATCTTCCTTTCGTCCCATGTAAGTTTTATGTATAGTATGGAACAGACTTAATTGAATGATATGGAACTTATGAACTTTATTTAAGGGGATAAAAAAAGTAACATTATATTTTACTTTTACATCTGCTTAAAAAATTACAAAGCTACTAAAATGTAATAATTCTCTTAAAAAAGGTTTATGTTTTATTTTTAGATATTTTTTACGAGTTACAGTTGTAAAAAGAATCAGTGACACAGTAAAAGAACAGGACATTATAGTACATACGTTATCACATTATCCAGAATTAAATAACAGCATCAAAATGGAAGTGGGTATTGAAGATTGTTTACATATAGAATTTGAATATAACAAATCAAAGTAAGTAACTAACTGAGGAATTTGAATAATTTATGATCAGGGGGAATTTTCAAATGCTGTCAGTCTTGAACCCAGTTTTCTCCCCAGGGCCTTTAAGCATCATGGTAATGTGATGGTATATTTCTTGAATGTGATGCTATCTGAATTGATTTTCTTATAGGTTGTGTTATGGATGTGATGCTATAATTTTTAGAAACAAAATGGTATTTCAAATTTCCCTGTTTACCAAGATGCTATATGAAATATCTTGGGAGAACACTGTCAATGAACCTCAACACAAAAATAATGTAATAAACATATATGTAATAGAATACAGCACTTCAGCTGATCTCAGGTAATTATTTGACATGAAATTATCTTTTCTGGACCAAATAAAAATAAGGAGATGTGGTATTATTGCCAATAAGACATCTGTCCACCAGAGTTCAAGACCTCGTTATAAGCATAGTTTGTTTAATTGAACTGTCACAAGTGTATTTTTAAAGAGTTTGAAATAATGCCCATTTAGAAGTTGAGATAGTACAGAACTAAAGAAAGTAGCATAAGAACTCATGATGTCACAATATATGTCAGAAATAATGGTGTTATAGAACAGTCTGTGTTAATTGTTTCCCCAAAAAACTAGATTTTGGTTGAGTTTTTTAAAATATTTTCCAGACAAGCAATTAAAGATTGAGCAGAGAATGCATGCAAGAACAAACTAAATAATTTACCTCAGTGTTTCAATATATGAACAACAACTCTCTTATAAATATATACTCTGTTCAAGTTTGCTCTCACAATTTTCTTGCCAATTATGCAGTTTTGTCAGTACTAAAGAAAAATGAATGTATGCCATCTTTTGACTACCAATCTTGGTGAATATTAATAATATTTGAAAGAATTGTCTATTTTGACTTTGCTCTTAACTATTAATACCATTAGATGCAATAAAGTCTTTAATAATGAGAAAAACTTCCAAAACTTACAGCAAGCTTGGTATGCCCTGTTATAGAAAACAATACAAAAACTGCATTCTCTAAGAATGCAAATTATGTTTGTATACAGGTGTTTCAGAGACAAAAAACATTCCTGGTGTTGAGTATTTCACTGATAAAACATGGTGATTATAGGATATCTTACACAATAATCAAGTTATAGAAACTATTGTTTTTCTTATTTCTTGCTCTCATGGAGATATCACCTTAAAGATGTTATTGTTGGAAAAATTTATTTCCTCTTGGTCCGTATAAAAATAAGATATATGGAACTTGCAATAGTCCGTCGAGAAACTACAGGTGCAGGTAAAGGCATTGTCAGACAACGTATGCATAATTATCTTATTTACTTAGAATCCCCCATTTGTTTAATGAAAGATCACAAAAATGTATAAAGCATATTTATAAATTAAGTAATGCCATTGGAATTCTAATGCAACATCGTTTGTAACGTTCATTTTGATTGGATAACGTCACCAATTTTCATGGCAACAATTCACAATTGATGCTATGAAATCTTAGGTGCAAGCGCAGATGATGTATGACAGATTTTAAACGTATGATTTGACATCGTTTTCTGTCAGTTTCATTAGAATGGAGATAACAATATTATATCTTAAGCTCCGACGGCATCAATTATTGATTTGATGGTCGCATATACTATTTTACTGGCTCTGCTAACAAGTCACCAGTAAACTTAATTTGCGACCATCAAATCACCAATTGATGCCGTCGGAGCTTAAAATACAATACAGTTATCTCCTAACAGTTGTCTTCCTTTGACAAGTTTCTCTTTAGTTGATTAAAGGGAGATTACTCTCCTAGTTCTTTTCCCCTGCTTTGTTTTATTTGTGATCTTTCAGTAAGTTTTATTTTGACATTTCACTGTAGTCTTAATCTTGCTTTTATTGTTTGTGTAAATTTGAATGTTGATTTCGGAAAGTAAAATAGATTATAGAGAAAAGTTATCTAATCTTATTGCTGTTATTTTACTTTTTGAAATTGAGAGGATAGATGTTGATAAATTGAAACATGAGTGTATAAAGAAACATTTTTATTGAAATTCTGGCGATGAATTATTTCTCTTCCAATCTTTTTTTTTATCAGTTCTAGCTTTTTTTAGAATTGATATAAAGTTATCTTACTTTGTGTGGAGAAAAATTTGTCACACTGATTTTGATATCAGATCTGTTATTTGGAAAAAAAATGTGCCAAATTAAAGCCTTTAAAATGTACAAACATATATAATGAAATTGTTAAATCTATGATTTGTTTATAATTGACTTCATCATTCCAGACACTCTGGAGCTGATATAAAACAAAAATTTGTTTCTTGTGTTGATGAGCAAACATCTCATGTTTCATTAATAACATTTAAACACAAAAATGTAACTGTACTTTGTTGTGTATGATAAATTGATATAAGTAGCTAGAAATTTCACAATATTTAATTTTTCATCCTTGATTTTACTGCACACACACAGGCAAACTTTGTTGTAGCGTATTTATAAATTTTATATGTTCAGTGTGATGTTGATTAAAGACAACAGTTTGTGAGCTTAAATAAACAGCATTAATATAATGCCACACTAATTAACATTTAGCTCTTCGGATTTCTGTTAACAAAAATTTGGAAAAAAAAGAGTCTATGATGAAAAATTGTTACCGTGAACTTCCTGCATTTAGAATTCTGGGACTCATTCTCATTTTTCATTTAAAAAAAAATTAAAGATAAAAAAAAAACTAGCTGCTTTTACCTTCATTTATATAAATACTTGAAATGGCTATTTAGAAAAAATATGATTCTCTCATACTAAAACTCTTACTCCCTTCCAAATTAATGTCGTCCCCAAAATGTTTTCCAAATATCCAAAGAAAGAAATTATGTTGATGTCCCATTATTCAATGTGGGCATTATACAAAGTTCACAACAAAGTTTGCTGTGGTTTTTCTGTGTAATTTTATTTTCGTCTTTCTATTTTGTTCCATTTTATTTCCATAGGTATCATTTAAAAGATGTAATAGTTGGAAAGATTTACTTTTTATTAGTACGAATAAAAATTAAACATATGGAGTTACAAGTCATCAAAAGAGAGACGACAGGAACAGGTAGATTGTGCAACAAGGCAGTTAATGTAAAATGAAAATTGGGGATAGGATAGGGATAATGAAAATTTGGGACGGGATAGGGATTTTAAGGTGAAGGTTAAGGATTTTGGATCTTTGAAATAGGAGAATTTACAGGGAAAACCTAATGGTCTGAAAAAATTATTGAAATTGTTTGCATTTTAATGAATCAAAAAGAAAATCATGACTGAGGTCAATAACTACAATTTTTAATTATACTCTCATAATCAGATACAAGACATTAATTGAGATGGCCACCTTTTAAACATTGCTTCTGAAAACTCAACCTTAGCATCTAGGAAAATAAAGAGACCTGGAAAACAGGGGAGAGAAACCAATTGATAAACATCAAGCCAGGGAAGAACACTACAAATATATTTTTGATTTCTGTTAAAATGTAGATTGTATATGAGATTGTTTTGTATGTCACTAAATGTTGTTAGTATGCAAACATTAAAGATGAAACATGTCAGTCCCATCATGTCACCACTTGTTTACTTTAATAAATTATTTATTTTTTGGAAACAAAATACCATTTCATGTTTTTAATTTATTAAAAAAAAAACTTTTAAGAAATAAAGATATTCAAAATTTGTATATGAATTACGTATGAATGTTTACTGCTACTTTATTAAGGACTGCAGTGTATATTGTAACATGAACTAAGGGAGCAGAAAAATGTCCCAAAGAACAAACTTGATTCTACAAATACCTTGTGTCTTCCTTTTCACCAGTTTATTATTATAACATAAAGTACTGTATCATGTTAACAGACTAGTCAGCTATTTTGATATGAAGTTTGAAACAATGAAGTTTTGATTTTTAACTTTATTTTGAATTCGTTCTTTTTATGACCCACATTTTAATTTTTTAAATAATGAAAAAGAAAGTAATTGGTGTATTAATTCATGAAACAAAATCCCTAAGCACTTTTACAAAAAACAAATAAGAGGTCTTTAATGCCATTCTTCATCTCAAAATTCTCAATGAAAGTAAAAGTCTATTTTGAACATGTTCTTTTTAGGACCTAACACATACAATGAAAATGAAACTATAGCCAAATACGAGATAATGGATGGGGCACCTGTCAGAGGTGAGTTTAATCTATTACTGTAAAAGTACTTTTCTTCGTGGGTATCTATTTTCGTGGTTTGAGCAAAAGTTACATGTTTGTGGGTTTTTAAATTCATGGATTTTAATTTTCTAAAAAAAAAAATCTAGTTAAGAATTTGGAGCCATCAGAAACGAAGGTTCTTGAAAATAATCCTATGTTGTTTTATAATGATTTGCAGACATTTCAAAATAAGGTGTTCATTTTCATTTACTTGTTCGTCTTTCATAACTGACAACATTCAACATATATTTTAAATAATAATAATTTTCGGAAATAAGCTGATTTATCTATGCTTACAAATTGCCTCAATTCAAGGATTATTGCAAAGTAAACATATTAATTGTTGAAGATGTGTAATCAGAAGTGATGACACTAATTAACCCGAGATCAAATGATCAACAGACTAACGATCATCAAAGGTGTTGATTGGGACATTAACATGTCACTTAAAGAAAACGGTAACATAAACAAATGCTATAAATGTAATTTGAATTGTAGAATTAATTCTTATGAAAAGCAAGCCCAATATGAAATTATTTTTTGTCTGTATGAGAATAATGAGGAGTTAAAATGAGCACTATATCATCACCGTTATTCTAACTTACATCGATAAAAACTGGTTTTTCATGAGAATTAGAATGTTAAACGTCGTACAATTTATGTTTTTAAAAGGTTAGATTGGTAAAATCCTGCCTGAAGTTGTATATATAGTTCATAGTGTGTTTGCTGATTTTTGATGTATTCTCTTAGATTATAAGCTCGTATCCATGCAGTCAAACCTACATGAGGATTTTTCCATTTCTTGATTTGGGCAACAGTTGTTATATTTTGTTGGACACTTAAATTCATGGATAAAGCCATCCACGAAAACCACGAAAATTGGTACCCCACGAATAAAAGTACTTTCACAGTAACTTGATATACCTTGTATAAAGTAATAATTCATTTAAGTTAGAAATATTGAAAAGTTTGCTTGGATTTATAAAAAAATGCACATACTTGTTACAAAGTAAAACTATTATTTTGAAGCACATTAGTTTGTTTGAAATTTGCAGAAAATCACTGTAAAGATTGTGATTTTATTAAAAGTAAAGTAGTGAAATGTTAAAGCTAAGATCTAAACTTCTGAAAATATAAATCTCATGTCTTCATATTTAGGGGGCTTATGAAATTTATTAAAAAATGTATGCTCTGTTTCCTAGGAAGATGATTTCTACATGTGTATATGATTATTTCTTAATGGTTGTGAGCTGACACTTGTATAGATAGTCTATACATGTACAATTATTTCTTTTAGTCCAGTATCTGTGTCCTTGTCATAGTCATAATTCTACCGTTTATGATTATGAACTCATCACAGTTTCAGTGTTATCTGTTGTGAAGAAATTTAGTATAGATATATATTACTTCTTGTTGCTGATCCCATTGGTCAGCAACTTGTTTTTTGAGAATAAAAATTTATGCAATTATTTCTAAGTGGTTATGAGATGACATTCTCAAGAGTTCAGTTCAATACATATATATTGAACAGCTATAGGCTATATTCATTAAGAATAGGAGAATCAATACCTTTAACATTATTCTGAATGGCTATGAGCTTACTTCTCCTGGCTCAGTGTATTCTATTTTGGAGGAAAATTGTTATCAATACAATTATGTCTGAGGGTTATGAGCTGGTATTCTCATGGTTCAGTATTTTCTGTTTTGTAGGAGAATCAATACCTATACGATTATTTCTGAGTGGCTATGAGCTGACACCTACGATGAGGGATATAAATAAGAAATTTTCTGTCCGATATTACCTCAATCTGGTCTTGGTTGATGAAGAAGAAAGAAGATATTTCAAACAACAGGTATTACAAGATAGTTCTGAATATGTAGCTTAATTTATGAGCTGTTTGTATCCTTTTTATTACTGTGTTGCAAGTCAAACTTTAAGTAAAGGAAATATTGAGTGCTAGTAAGCTTATAGTATAGTGAATATTGAGTTGTCAGATGGGCTAGTGGGGAAGATAGGGATTTTTTCTTTTGTTAGCCACTTCTATGGTTTTTAACCCACAGCCTTCAAGTTTTCAAGAATGTTTTTATATACATTGAAAATGTGCACCTCATTACTAACTAGACAGAACAATGTGGTTAATAATTTCGAGTAGTGCGACGTGAGAGCAGCTACAGTTGTTTTCGTGCATAATTTTAGAACCATGTTCCCGTGCATTATTTAAGAACCATACAAACAATGCTTTTAAAATTTTAATACGATTTTACTGACGATGAAATGGAGATCAGGTTTGATATTGAAAATAATCACTATTTCCAATTTGGAGTTATAGTCCTTGATTGATATGGAAATGAAAGTTTATGTTGTATCCATGCATTAACTTGTGAACTCTTTAATCTATGGTTTTCAAATTTTGATATATTGTTACTGATGACAAAATGGAGGTAAAGTTGGATATTGACGATTTTCACTTAAGCTGTTCAGAAGTTATGGTCCTAGATTGATTGGAAACTGGAACTTTATGTCAATTCAGTAGAAATACTTCAAAGAGTTTGATCCAATCCTTTTCAAATTTTGAAATGTTCTGTCTCATGACAAAATGTATGTCAAAACTTTTGTCAATTTTTACATTTACCGATCAGGATTGTTTAAACAATGACAATTGCAGATGTAAGAAAATCTTGGTTACCCTAATCAAAGCATAAAACATGCATGTTGTAGGGACTTAAATCTATAGTTTGCCCCCAGTCACAGGATCTAAAATATAAAAATCTTTACAAATAATGTTGAATCTATAATTGAAGATGTGATAGCTAGCTCTCGGATATTCTTTTAAAAACTATCACAAAATTTGTTTTCCACGTCCTTTTTCTTTCAAACAGTATAGATTTGTACTATGCAATAAAAGAAAACTTTCCACAAAAAGCCTTCCCATGAGATATGTAAAGTTGGAGGAAACAAAATAATGTAAATTAGATATTTTGAAGTATTGATTTTAGTTTGAGCTTACTCTTTTCCAAGTATTAGAAACATACATGTCTCTAAATTGTACAAAATATCAGGACAGGTCATAACATTGTAAAATGTAAATCCTGGTTTCACCAGTTGTTAAGCATCATTGCAAGATGCATATATCAAATTTTTTATAAAATGGGAATCTTAATTATTTGTATTATTTTTTTCATTTACAGGAAATAACTGTGTTCAGAAAAGCTGAGAAAGTTAGAAAACCTGGAGAGAAGTCAGTTTACCAACAAAACCGAGGTCTTCAGTCACATATATCAGACCGTGAACACCAAGCTATTCAAGAACAGAAACAAAGAGAGGCACAACAACAGCAAGAACAGCAAGAACAAACAAACGAACATACAGAAAATGAAGAAGTAGAAAATGAAAATGAAGATGAATGATACATTGTCAATTTATTTAACAATTATGCATACATTGTCTAAAGATCATTTCACAGTCATCATCAGAGAAGTTGTGAGCTGTGTTTATACATTGTTACTCAAAGAACTTGTGGTGTGTGACGTGCGAAATGAATTCAAATTGTGATATAAAATTGAAAGTTTGTGTAAGTTAAATGGTTTTCAATCATTTGAATTTGTCCATATATTGGAAAAAAGAAAGTGGGCTCTTATTTCAAAGTATCCCAAATACTCATCAGTTATATATGTTTCTGACCATATATATAATTATGGTGCCATAATATAAACATTATATGTTAATATATAGCGTAAAGTGACAAACATGTTAATGGGTATTGTAAAGTAACCAAAAAAAAAGTCTGTATAAAAAGATGATTTTAGTCATGTGATAGCTATTATTTGCTGATTCTTAAAATTCAAAGGCAATAAAAAAATTAATTCAATCTTACAATGATATAAGCATGATAAACTACTTTACTGAATGTAAAAAGAATATGAATATTTTATCAAATAAAATTATTCTGGATGAGATAAATATATGTGAACACTCTGGCAAAAACTGAAATAAGGTATTACAAAGGAAATGAAACCTTTCCCTAAAATCAGCTGGTGTTTACATGGCTGTTTAAATTTTTGCATAGTTCACTGATTCCGTGGAAGGCTATTTTCCTTCCTTTACTTATCTACACAGAAAAATGGGTCTAAACTTAAAAAACTTATTTCTTTCGCCAGTCCATTATAGGAATACAAAAAGGGGATTTTTTAAAAATCTTCTTAAAAAAAGGGAGGGAATTCTTGAATTACACAGTAATTTCCATTATATGGATGTAAATGAGTGCTAGTATTAGTGCTATTTGAATGACATTATGAGAAAAAGTTGTATGCATGATTTGAATGGATGTGTGTGAAAGATCTTTTAAATATATATTTAAGCTTCCAAAGTATATTGCAAATTTATGTTTTGTTGTTGTTTTGAAATATACAAACACACTTTATTCACAATTGATTTTTTGTTGAAACAAGCCTGAGAAATGTAGAATTTCTAAATCATATTCTTACAAGTCACTGTTTTGAAACAAATTTCAATGCCATTTTAATGTTGAAAGTATTGTGATAGGTATGCCAATCTTGACTATTTCTTCTATTAAAGCAGCTAAACAGTATGGAGACGAAACATTGTCATGGCTTCAATAGTATAGTCATATATAATTTTTTGTTTTGGAATACCATTTTCAAAGATGATTTTTCACAAATATTTTATTTGTACCTGATAGCTTTGCTAAATTAGAATGTTTTATCATATTTCCCTTCATCTCTTGTCTCTTCAAGAAATCCCCATTAAAGCTTTGTGCATCAAAAACAACTACATCATATTATTTCGAACTGGTTATATTACGGTTTGAAATTGATTGGATGTTTTTATTAATGCAAAATTTCCTGCAGGAAGAGTAATTTTGTTTTTGACTTGGAATTTTTTTAACGCATGCAATATTAAGGGAAAAAAATTTAACACATGCAGGAATTGCAGTATTTAGTATCACCTTATTCTCAGTAAATAAATGCTCACAATACATGTAAATACTGAATTTACAATTTCCACTTGTTATACATAAACATTTTTACATCCATTTTGACATACCGGGGTAAACAAATGTCTGGAATAAATTATATTGAGTTTAGAGTGAAGATGTGTAAGTGTTTGGTTATGAACATGGAATGACTTATGTAGCATATTTGTTAAAATGTTTATAGATTAGGGAGGATGATAGACCAAGTTTATTTAGTACCATTGTATTTTGTGTGATATGTTTCACTTTTCTGTTTGAAATTATTAAGTCAGTAATATTGTCTCACAAAAGTCAGTACATAATTGTAGGTATAAAAAAAATAGTATCTCACACCTGTTTTTAACATGATGGTACAGCTATTTACTAATAACTTTTTAAAATTCAACTTAATTTCTATGTCTACAATTATAATACTTTTTATTAGCGGATATTTGAATTTAAACTTTACTTATACATTCTGCTCTATTTTAGTTGAATAATGTTTGATTAACTTAATCATTGTGGATCAAACAGCAATATAAACTGTTAGCCAACTTGTAATTTGTCAAGTAGTCATGCATAACTTTGATGTTCAAAAATTACATTTTCAAAAGATGAATGAAAAGTGAATGAAACAATGTTGATATAAGATATCTTTATTGAGTTTTATAGTAATTATGAATAATTAACTCATCAGATAAAGAGTAGAAATCTTCTCTATCATTATTTCAGTTAAAAATCTTGAACCATCAACTCTAATGTTTTTAACAATTGTAAAATTATTCAAACTTGATTACTGGTGAAATTTCTGTTAAGTACAATAAGATAAAGATTATGTAAACCTTTATCTTTAAATTTGTTTTGTATTCAATCTGTCTTAAGCAGATAGATAACCTTCAATTCTGCCATTTAAACTGATTTTGTTGTCAATTGTTATTTTATAAAAAGTGCAATGTTTTTTGTAAATATTAATTAACGTTATGTAAATATTGTAATTAGAAAGGTAGATTTTAACACTGAATAGTTACCATGGTTTCCTGTTTAATTTGATTGTGTGTCTATTTATAAGTGCGTGATTCTGTGTATTTCTTGACAATGTATTTGTTACAAAAATTGTGATGCAAGTCTTTTTCACAATATTGACATGACTGGGAAATGGTCCTTCCTCACATTGTCAGTTTTACCTTCATATATTGTATAACGGCTCTGGTTTTGTCCTAGGCAAAGCAAAAACAATTTTTGGTCAGCAACAACTATATTTTCCAATATTAATCGAAAGCACATATCTTAAATAAGCTTCTGACCAATGATTTTTAATTCTTCAAACTTACATCTTGTTACTTCAGTCTTCGCAAAAACATTTCGACTTTCAAGCCTAAAAAGTCTTTCATAGAATTTTATTGATTGTTTGAGGCCAATTTTTCAGAAAATAATTACTGGCTCATTAACATTTTTTACCTGCATAAGCTGTAGGGCTTGTTGTTAATCATAAAAAATCCAGAATCATTCTTTTCCAGTGATAAATGTTAGTTTTTCAAATGCTTGTTTCTAAAAAATTCACAAATTTGTTTATACATCTGTTCATACATCTTTTTGAAAAGCTGTCCCATTTATGCGATTTGGCTAATGTTATTAAAGTTTTAGCCAACTTGATGTGAAGTTCATTTTCATTGAACATACTCACTGAGCGGATTCATTATTGTTCTTTCCATTGGTGAAGGTGAACCACAAATTTAGATTTCACGAGGTACACATTTTCATTATAAGCTTATATGCAGACTTTTGCCAAAATACGAAATCAAATATTCACGTAAATACAATTTTTCCTCCATCCACAAAAATTGGTACCCATGAAAATAGATAAATCTTTCTTATGAATACACCAAGATGAGCTACACAAAATACATTTCGAAAGGATAATGTGACCTATATTTCATGAATCAGCAGTCACATATCAATATTTTATTATAGTTTAGTGCACATTTATTATTGCATCAACTTTCCATCATCAAATACTACAAAATGTGAGGTAATGTACTACATGAGAGAAAGATGTTGTTACCTAGATATCTTCTTTTAAAAATGTTATCATCATAACTGTTCAATCCATTCTTTTATGTTATATTTGAGATAAGCTATAACAAAACTTAACTTGTGAAATATTTGATTATATTTCAAAACCAAATTTATGATACTGGAGCTTTACATCACTTGAAATTTTCCTCCTTTTTCTCCCAAGTATTGATGGAGTAAGATGTCATTATTACCATTTCATGTCAGTATGTGTGAAGAAGAATAAAACCATTGATAATAGACTTGTGAATAAGAAAAAAATTATCTTATTTATCCAAAGATTCTTGTTTTGTTGCTGTTTTCATGTGATGTGTTTATTATTAACGTCAGGAATCAATCATGCAATATTATCAGGGAATGTACAAATATTTTGGGGCTTAAAAGGAAAAATATTAACGACACAAAAATCATCAACAGCATTTTTATTGAAAGTTGCAGTCAAAACCTGTTCAAATAAGAAGTTTAACTGGTACTGTGTACTTAGAATTATTTTGTTGGTTACCAATTTCATGGGTGAAGTTAATCTAGGAATTTGAATATTCAACAAAGTACCCAATTTCGCTAGGCTTTTATGATACCATAAAGTAAAATATCCATGAAAATTTGATTTGTCCTCAATCCATGTAAGTTGATACCCATGAAAATAAATTAATCCACAGTATTGCCTAAAAAACCTTGTTTACAGGACAAGCCATAGATTTAAAAAAAATAAAAGGCATAGCTATTGTATAACAAAGGGCATTATGAGAAAATATCACTTCATATACAATGACAAATCATTAGATAGCTACTAAAGTGTTGATTTCATGTGGATTTTAAATTAAGCAGGCGTTATATACAATTCTATAACATTATTTTGCATTGTAATTATAGCATTAAGTGTTTACTCTGTTAGAGTAATTCACTTTACGGAAAAGGTCGGGATAAAAAAAAAATGCAGCCAGATTTTAACTTGGGTTAAATGAAACCAGAGGACTAACATGGTTCAAGAATACTGTAAATTCAGAAATTATTGTGAGGTTTTTATTAATGCGAATAATGCGACTGGGTGTATATCGCAATAATAAGAACTCGCATTCTGATATCTGTTACATATATCTTTATGCAGATTTTCCTGAAATCGCAATATTTAATCTCACATTGTTGTCCATTCTTTAAAAATCGCAATAATAAATGTGCGCAATAATTTCTGAATTTACAGTACATAACTTTCAGTGTGCCAATGGTTGTATCTTATTTTTAAATATTTATAAGACATGAATTGAATTTTGTGATTAAAACCTTGTAAGAAATAAGAAAAAATACAATTTCAATTCAACATTGATATATATTTGTAAATGAATTATATGTATTTCTTCAGGTTTTGAATCTTTCTGGACTTCTCAATACTTTGACTTGTCATGATTTTTTGGCATCCGATATTCCCAAGACAGAATTTTTAACTGTGAACTGATAATGGACTAAACCTCCCCTAATCATTATTTGAAAGCAGTTAAAATTAACGGATAAGAATATGAAATTTACAATGCCCACGTATGTTTAAAATAATGAATCATAAATAGTAAAACTAAAATGACATTAGTGTATTGAAATTACATGATATATTAGTAAAACAGGAAGAAAATTATTATGTACTTGAGAGAAAACAATTTAGTCCATATTTTAAAAATGATTAACAGATCAAAGTTTTTATAAATTCTTGGTGATTAGATTCTGGCAGTTTTAGCTGTATAATTCATTCTCCATTTCATAACTTATTAAGTTGACATGAGGAGAGGTTTTTGGCCATTTCTCCTTCTGAATCAAGCCCCTGATATAATGTAGAAATATCACCTTATTGAATTATTTGTGCATAATGATAAATGTGATGTTAACCATTCCATGTGTTGTTGTTACAGAATGTGTGATGAAGGTAACTCATGCTTGTTTTCAAATGAATGTTAATTTAATACACTTGTATAAGAATATGTGTTATTAAATGTGGAAATATCCATTGAAAGAGTTATTTTTTATATGAAAAAATCAGAAATGTCAAGACGCTGTCATACCACACCATATAGTACATATATGACAGCAATAATTAAAATGGTACAAGAACTGTATGATACTGATCAGCTGGTTCCCTGGGTATGAAGGCCATTTTTATGCTCATCAGGGTTAATGATACGAGGTCAAGTCATGTGAACCTTGCATGAAGTTTATATAGACCTTGCAAGGAATCTATCTCCAAATATATTTCTTGTATTACATGTACTCATAAATGAGAAATTTACATGACAAAAAAACTATAGCTGCTTCGCTGAAGGTAGAAGTAAGTTTAGTAATTGCTCGACTCTGTCCTTCTGAAATAAATCTTTCATCTTGTTTTCATGTCTACTATGAAAGGGAATGATTTCATATTTGGTCTGCAGCTTTATAATGTTGAGTTGTAGCAAGTAAGCAATTTTTTCATCTGCCATGTAGCCACTCCTTTATGCCGATATTTTGAAATTTTACAAAACTCTTTGTACAAGGAAAAATTCATTCAAAATTATCTTGTCTTCTATGAAAGGAAATGATTTAATATTTGGTATGCAGCTTGATAATGTTGAATTGTAATAAGTAAGCAATTTTTACATCTTCTGTGTAGCCGCTACCACTTTGCCAATAGTTTTGACATTTTACAAATCTCATTGAGTACAAGGAACATTTTCATCAAAGTTTTCTTGGCATTAGTAAAAGGGAATGATCAGTTATTCTCCAGTAAAGATATGAAGATAAAGAACAGCAATAAAAGCGTTTGTTTTTTCTATTACCGGTATATGACCTCAACCAATTGATTGCAGCGAGGAAGGTCCAGACCTGTATTTGTCTTGTAAGCAATTGCTGAACCATGAAAATGAGGTCAAGGAAAATGAACACATGACAGACGGAAACTTCATAACATAATGCATTTTCATACAAGGTATGAAGCATATAGGTCTTGTACATTTTTCAATATTTAAAGCTTTGTATAAAAAGTTTACGCTGTTGTTGGATTTTAATCCCTATGTTACGAATTCTGAGACAGGACCTAGATAAGCAAAGGAGGAAAGTTAAGTACACAAAAAACTGGCAAAGCCCTACCAACTTTTGTGCTTGTACACGTGGGGCTATCTGGACAATATGTTGTTTATTGTTGTTTGGGAATCAAGTGTTAATGGTTGATATGATCTGTTGTACTGGCTATTCCTATTTTTCCTTTCAATGTATTATTATTATCAGAGGAAAGATAAGTAAATATAATTAAGATTGCAGGATAAAAAAATTGGTGTTTGTTTTTTTAGCTTCATTTGGTAGATGCACAAATGATACTGTTGCTGTGTTTTCAAGCTAGTACTAATTACCTGTGTAGCTGGTAGTTCTTTAAATTTAGAGGATAGAATTGCAGTTTGAAAAACGGTATAAAACCACTTCTGATTGACCTTTTTGACCAGACCTGTCAATCATGTTTTAATTATAATAAAGAAATCTATACCATACATTAAAATCTTAGCTGGATTGAAGATCTGTTTTTAAAATTCTAAAAATTCAAAATCCTGAAAGCAAAGTGAGCATTTTCCCAAAATTTTCACATTTTTATACTTCTCTGAAACCACTAGCCCTATACAAAGAATAGTATATACAAAGTACTCTATAAAGATTCTTATATGGTTCAAATTGGACAAAAAAGCATTTCAAAAGATCTTCATCTCTAAAGAAGCAAGGAAATATGTATTGAAACATTTCAGGATTGATAAATTAGTAGATCCACTGCAAACGATCATCATTTAATGTTGGTTAGGTGGCAAATATGGTGGCATTGTTGGCACACAGTTCTTATGGTCTTGATGAAATCTCTAAGGACAATCAAATATTCATCTTCTCTGAAACAAGTACCAGGCCTTTATGAAATAAGCTTAAAAGAATGATGTATGGAAGGATCTCTACAAACTGACCACATATAGTTACAATTGGACGAAAAAAATCACCCACAAGAAGAAATCTTTGATCCAATTTTCAAAAATCCTTTTCTCAGAACCTACATGGAAAAAAGTTTTGAAATGTTACATGATTGATGATTGGGAGACCTAATGATCCTCAATGTTGATCGGAGGCAAGCATGGCAGCATTGTTGGCACATAGTTCCCATTAAAATTCTTGAAAGTCACATTTTAACTTTTTTTTCTGTAACTACCTGGTCAAATTTAACCAAGCTTATCAGGAATGATGTTAGAATGTTCTATCGAATGACTACTGTTGTTTCAATGAAATGAAAATGTGGCTGCCAAAAGCATTCTTAGATTTAAATTACCGGTATTCGGTATTTTTTTCTCCTCAATTACAAGAAAACCATCCTCTAAGAAACTCATTCAATATAGTCTGGTAAGTATCATTTAATGTCACATTAATGTTTTGCTTTTATCCTCTTATTTACAAAGTAAACCACATGTGACCATTGATGCATTTCTTTTCAACCAAGGTAATCCAGGTTAACAATTCCAGCACATTGAAGTCTTTAGTGTATTAAGAATTGCAAAATCATTTCTTGTACACATGTGTAAAGCAAATGTAAAACAATATGAATAAAAGGAGATGTGCATTTAGTTAGTCTATATTTATCATTTTAAATTTAATGTCTGCAAATTAGACAGGTCACTTTTTTCAAATTTGCAGTAGATGAAAAGATGATCATTTTTCCATAAAAAGAGGGACAAAAACCTCTCATTTTACTAGGTATATATATACACTTGTTACCTCAATTCATATATCAGGTTTATTATTTAAAATAAATAAATTTATTTTCTTCCTATAGTATTTGCATCCTTTGTAAATGATATTAGTTCACAGTTATCTTTTACTATACTTCAGCTTCAACGATAGAAATTTCTCACTGAATAAGACAGTGGCCTAATAATAGTGTAAATTCATAAATTATTGCGAGGTTTTTATTAATGCGAATAATGCGACTTGGTGAGTATTGCAATAATTAGAACTTGCATTCTGATATCTGATACATTTATTTGTATGCAGATTTTTCTGAAATCGCAATAATAAATCTCGCATTAATGTCCATTCGTAAAAAAAATGTAATAATAAATGCGCGAAATAATTCTGAATTGACAGTAGCCATTGTAGCATAATTTGTTTTATTTATAATAAAAAACAAGAATACATGTACAAATATTTCTATGTTTATGGCACAAAAATAAAAATAGCACTTTAAGAATACATTATAAATAACGACAATCATATAACTGATATGTAAAGGTAGTTACTAGTAAAATAAGAATATAAATGTATAAATTGATTATTTTTTAAATGTATGAAATTTAATCTTTTTGAAAAATAATAGCATAATTTGTTTCTTTGAAATAAAAAAAATTAAACTAAATGTACAAATATTTCTATATACATGGCACAAACAAAAATATGGCAAACAAAACAAATTACAATAATCATATAAATAACATGTAATAGTAGGTACTAGTAAAAGAAGAATATAAATGTATAAATTGATGATATTTTTTTCAATGTATAAAACTTTGTTTGTTTAAAAAGAAAATATAATTAAAAAAATCTTGATGTAAAGTTGGCAAGATTAGTAACAATATAACATAAGCTTGCGTTGAGCTTTTGAACTGGACATAAGACAATCACTCAATTTCAAACAATAAATCGTATCACATTACATAATTCACATTGAAAGTACTTTTATTCGTGGGGTACCAATGTTCGTGGTTTTTGTGGATGGCTTTATCCACGAATTTAAGTGTCCATGAAATTTAACAACTGTTGTCCAAATCAAGACTTGGAAAGATCCCCATGTAGATTTGACTACATGGATACGGGCATATATAATCTAGAGAATAATCAAATATCTGCAGACACACTATGAATACTTTTAATCTTTTAATTCTCTTGAAAATTAGTTTTGATCGATAAAATTCAGACGTCCGGTGATGATATACGATGATGAAAAGTTCATTTTATCCACTTATAATTCTCATATGAAAAAAAATCATTATGGGCTTGCTTTTTTATTTCATAAGAGTTAATTCTACAATTCAAAGTACATTTGTAGCATTTCTTTAATCTATAACCGATTTCTTTAAGTGACATGTTTATGGCACAATTAACACCTATGATGATCGTAAATCTGTTAATTATTCGATCTCGGGTTAATTAGTGTCATCATTTCTGATTATAGTGTGCTATTAAAATGTTTACTTTGCAATTTCCTTCAATTGAGACAATTTGGAAGTATAGATCAATCATTTTTTTAATGGATGTTGTCAGTAATGAAATATGAACATGTAAGTGAAAATGAACACCTTATTTTGCAATGTCCCACAAATCGTTACAACATATATGATCATTTTCAAGAATCTTCGTTTATGATGGCTTCAAATTCTTCATTCGATTTTTTAAAATTAAAAAAAAAATCTAAAATCCATGAATTTAAGAACCCACGAACATATAAATTTTGCTCAAACCACGAAAATTGATACCCACGAATAAAAGTACTTTCACAGTATTAGTATAATAAAGTTTTAACAAACAAATATGTCCTGCCTGCGTAACCTATTCGAAAACTTTAATAATTGTTGATGCTGCTGACGCCAATGCCAGAAATAGCACGCCTCAGTCTCCCTTCAGCGACTTTTATCACAGGTGAAACAAAAATTTATTGCTGACATAATATCTGAAAATTTTCACCCTGAGGAAGTTCAAAGGTTTAATGCCCTAATTGCTGTGGAATATCACATGTTTTGAAGTTGGCAAGTTCCGAGTACAATTACCCAACAAAGAAGGATATTTAAGTATAAGCAATCAAAGAACCATTTAACAGTACAAATGTACTTAGATAGAAGCAAAAATAAGCTATTTGTATAAAAATAAGAATGTTCTGTGTTGTAAGACCTCACTTGGATCATGAGATGAAGAACTGCAATAAAAAAGCAGTTCCTTTGCATTGGGTTTTATTATGTGCATGTAGGGCTTTTGTGTCATGAATTTATAAACCAGATCTCATATTTTCCATTGTACGATATAAACATTTCAAACAAACCTAGCATTTTTTATCCGAACTATCTTTAAGTATCTTCTACTTCCTGGCCAACTTTCGTAGTTTAATGCCACAAAAAAATCCCAAACATTCTTAAAAGTCCTATGAATACCCTCCCAAAGATATTGAGTTCTTATGGAACCACTGATAAATTAAGAGCGTTTCAATTTACTGATTGAATGAAAGTACTAAATAAAAATACTGTTTTTCATGCGCCAATAATTCACATTTCCCATTCATAACGAGAACAGATATATTTTTATTTCAACAATATGAAATTTTCTATCTGTAAATAATGTATACAATTAAAAACATAATATTTATTTCATGTTTCCAAGGAACTAACATAAGCAGTGTAATCAAGTCCTTTCAAATAAAACTACAATACAATAAGATAAGCAGTATTTGTTCTTCCATTAACCAGAAACATTTAAAATCATTAATTTTGGTCTTTCTTTTGAAACCAGGTTATCCTTTTACTACTGATACAATTACTGTGCAAAAAATTCATTACACAACAGGTTAGTTACTTGTAAGTTACCCTAACATGAACTTTTATAATTATTGGTTTCAAGAAAGTTTTGATCACTGAAAACAATCGATAAAAGTTATAAAATATATAATTTCCATAAAAAGCATTAAACAATATTCTACACAGTTAACAACATATCTATTTGAATGTATACAAAATACTCTGAAGTTCTTTTGTTATTTAAATGTTTTCCATCATGCACTTATAATAGAAATATCAATAAAAATACATTTTAATAAAAACAAATGCCATTAAAAACTAGAGGTAGCATTAGCAAAGCTAAAAAAAGAAATATATCAGATCCCGACATAAAGTTCTCTTCCCTGAGTATCAAATTTTAAGAATCTAACGTCAGAAAGAGTGCACACATTATATGATGTGCACAATGGTATAAAAAATGTATATGGTTAATAATCTAACGATAAATTGTAACAAGGGGTTGAGGAGAAGTGAAAACTAACGTGTACTGTATTGTGCGAATAAGATAAAGCCCATGTCATGCCTAAGTAAACATAAAAATCATTCAGATGAAGAAATAAAATAAAAAAAGAATAGGTACATTATGTCAGTCGGCTTCTGTGAAAGTGGTACAAAAGTATGTAAAGCGGTTCCGAAGCAGTAGCGGATACAGACAGACAGACCGACTAACAGTAGGACATCCGCATCACTATACAATGCCCGCTTTAAAAAGCACGAGATACCTTTATTCTTACTGAACAAATATCATTAAATGAGCAATTTTCATATGAACCAGAAAATCTTTTTAAACTTTTTTGGGATCATTCGTTTAGTAAAAAGTTCACAATACTTGGCATCTGACAGACAGAATTATGCTCTGTTTCTTCTATGTCCTTCATACTTTGTATTGATGAAATCAAGTTTCTCGTCATCTGAATCCATAAGGCAGTGGAATTTTTCTCTGTGCCTTGAACCACATGTTCAATGCTAAGTTCTAATTTTTTACGAATCTCCTGAACCTTTTCTGGTTCTTTTAAAGTGTATTTGTCACTGTCTGGAAATATAAAATTAAAAAGAAAGATAAATTGTACTCAAAAATTTAAATACGCAATAACGATTCTTTTATTTCATACAGCTTTAGAAATATGATCATTTCATTTGATGTAACATACATGTATGTATTTGAATATAAATACATTTAATTACCATCTGAACTGTGATTGAATCCTGATGTAAACATTTGTATGCATATTCAAATTTAATAGACGCTTTTGGAGATAATGAATATTTCAAGATAGAGCTATTAAAAAACATGATTTTACATACGACCTACCATGCTGACTACATCTGATAATAATCAACTTATAATAATCATTTATTGAAATGAGTTTTTAATGTCAATCCTTATCCAAACGAAACAGTCTGGTAGCCTGTTGCCTGACTCAAACTAATGTGCCTGTCCCAAGTCAGGAGCCTGTAGTTCAGTGGTCATCGTTGGTTCATGTCTGTCATATTTGTTTTGTTATAAATTAGGCTGTTTATCTCTCAATTGAATTGTTTCATATTTTTTTATGTCGAGTCCTTTATAGCCGACTATACATTATGGATTTTTCTCATTGTTGATGGCCGTACCGTTGGTTACATCCACTTCATTTGAACTTTGGTGGATAGTTGTCTATTAACAATCATACCACATCCTTTATTTTTATATTGAGATGTTGTTTAATAAAAAAAAAATCTTTTAAATCCTGAATGTAATAAAGACATCAAAACATGACGAACACGCATACCTTCCATAAAAAACAGAATTTCAACATTTCACTGTCCTTACAGATTCAAACAGTACCAACTGTTTTACATATAAAATTAAAAAAAAATATGTGTCTAAAGTGAACAGGAGTTGATGGTCACTGACAGTAGATTCTCCCTGACCATTACTAGACATTGCATTTGATTTAATTGACAGAACAGCAGATGCTGGTGTTCATTTCAAACATTTTTACATAAAGCCAGATTCTAATATGACGACCTATATATCGTCAACCAATATAATCACAGTATATCTACTTTTAGAGCAAACGCATCAATACACAAAACTTACTGTTCCGCGTTACACCCACCAAATGTATACGACCAGATAAACTCAATTGGCGACAGTAAACCCCGTTTTACATAGGCAAGCTTCAAATACAATACGGTTATCTCTATTCTAATGCAAAATAATCAAATCAGTCCATTTCAGTTATTATTCGGTGTAAAATTTCAGGTTTCTTGTATGCCTCAGAATGTAAATAAAAAGAACATTTTTGTCTCACGTGCGACAAAAATTACAGTATGGCTTTATGCGAGACGTAGGGACTACTATCCAGTGGTGGCAGCATAAATATTTATATTTCATAAGGTAGAAGACCTGGATGCTTCATACCTTGTATGCAGATACCTAATGTTATAAAGGTACGGTCTGTCATATGTCCATTGTCTTCACTTCATTTTCATGGTTCAGTGACTGCTTGAAAAAAAATCGTTTTTTTTTTGTCATGTGAATTTCTCACTTATTATGAGTATTAGGATAATATACATTTATTTCCTTTGCCTGAGGGAGATATGAAGATTTGTTCTCCCAAGAAAACTCATATTTCCCCAGGGACTCGCCCGAAGGAAATATGACTTTTCGAGGGTGAAGAAATCTTCATATCTCCCTAAGCCAAGGGAAATGAATGTTTTATTCCACTGTCTATACTTTTTTTACTTCCTGAACATAAAATATTATTTTCCATGCAATGTTTCTTATCCGCTTACTTTTATAACTAAACAGGACCTAATTGTTAGTAAATAATAACGATCAAAAGTTAATTATTTACTCTACTATGGCAAGTTTATCTCTGTTTTCACGAATTTTACGTCAGAAATAATTTTGAAAACGATAATGACTATGCTATCAGTATTAAAAAAATCTCTGTTCAAAACGTTATGCACATTTACCGTGCGTAACGTCGCACGAGGTAGTCCCGATTTTTATAGGGGAATATGCTACAAAGAGGGGACTATGAAGTCTTGTTCGGTGTCACGTGGGATCGTCTCAAACAATCAAATGTTGATTTCGCTATCAAATTTACCATACAGTGGAATAACATATTTGGTATATAGGTTCCTTTCAATGTCTACATGTCTGTCAGACACAGGGTTCACCTGACCTCAACCTCATTTCATGGATCAGTGATCAAGGTTAAAGTTACATGATTAGGTCTGTTCCTTAGATACTATAAGTAGCAAGTTAACTATATGAGGTGTTTGTAATGATTGTAAGGGGTACATGTCAGTCTGGTAGGTTTCATATGACCTTGACCTCATTTTCATGGTTCATTGGTCAATGTTGAGTTTTTGTGATTTGGTCTGTTTTTCAGTCCCTATAAGCAATTAGGGAACGACCATTTAACTTCAAAGGGGGGGTTATGGTTTTTTCCTAAAAAAATATTCTGATCCCCAATTTGATGAAAACAAATATTGTGGTCAAGCAGATGAAAAAAAAAATTCTGAATCAAGATTTTCCCCATACCCTATAGAGTTAAATTTTGAAAAAAATAATTTGATTGATGAACTAGAAAACAATTTCTGACTTTGCGCGAAAAAAAATTTCTGACTCAGACAAAAAAACATATGTCTGTCTATAGGTATCATCTGACCTTGATCTCATTTTCATGTTTCATTGGTCAATGTTAAGTTTTTGTGTTTTAGTCTGTTTTACTAATACTAATAGCAATAGGTCTGTTATATTTGGGGTATGGAATAATTGTAAGGTGTACATGTTTGTCTTACAGGATTTATCTGTCCTTGGACTCCTTGTCATGGATCTTTATACTTGTTAAGCTATGTGTTCTTTGTGGTAAAACCTTTATTTTTAAGACTTTCAACATAAAATCAATGGTCAGTAAAGCAGGCGAGACATTTCAGCGTGTGCACTCTTGTTCGGGTAAAAATGTGAGTTTTTTATTCATAATTGAATACCGGTAATATAATATCATTATATGTGGGTTAAAAGGAACAGCCAAAACAGTATCGTGTGTATAGGGCTTTCAAAATTACCATATTTGTCCTTTAAGAATCGAAATAATTCATGGCAGCAGTAGATTTGTTTTCCTTTAGCCATGGGTTGGGCATTTATATTCGTATTTTATCCTTCGCTATTGCTCGGGATAAAATAATCAAATATAGATGCACAACCCATGATTAAATGAAAACAAAACTATGGCTGCCATGAAATATTTCTTAATTATTCATTTCAAATCATTCCATACATACTTGGAGTTGTAATCAACAAAGCCAAAACAAGAGCTTGTTCTTTCTTTGTAAGATTCAGATTCTGTATTCCTTTACAAAACTCTGTCCACACTTTAAGCAATTCTTCAGGCATCCAACCAACAATTTCTTTGATGTTATATGTTTGACCAGAAAACAGCATGACCATTTCTGTGTCCGGATCACAAGCTACGTGTATGATGAAGAAGAAGCATTCTGTCCTTGAAGCTGCAAATGAAAGTCATTTAAGAAATAACTGGAATGTCATAGATTTATTCATTTTCATAATGCGTGGTAAAGGGTTATTTTCGTGCAATAAGTTTGCAATTTTTTTTAACTAAGTGCTTGTAGCTTACTACTTACTATGTTTCGTGCAAATTGGTAAACAAGCAATGTGTAAGCTATTTTCTTTATTTATTTGTTAATTGTGAACTGGCCTTTTTATTTCCCGTTTGTCTTGGCACATACTCCCCTATTACAACCCTCTTCATAAGTTACCGTGGTTTGACAAATTGTTTCTCTTGTTGACCTAATTCTGTGGTTTGTCTTCTGTGAAGCACCAAATAGAATATGGGTCATACATTCTCCATTAAATGGGAAAATGAAAGAAAAGCCATTTTATTGCAAAACCATGCATAAAGATTGAGTACATTCAAGTAGTCATAGTACGATAACTGTAAACCTCTCAGAAGTTATACGTTTTCTGAGGTAATCTAACAATACATGAAAATATGCACAATACCTGTGCATTTATCATTGAAGAAACAACTGAGGTTTAAATTTTCAGAAAAAAACTATAAAAATAATACAATAAGATTTAAAAATGCCAGTTCTAATTAACAATTCACTAATACTGTCTCATTTATGGCAAAAACAGAGAAAAAGGAAAACAAATCTGAATTACAGTGACTAAAAACAAGGTTGACCTATTACCAGATTACATTCACATTTAACAGAGGCTTTCGTTCCTTTTAACAAGGTTGACCTGTTACATTCACATTTAACAGAGGCTTTTATTTCTTTTAACAAGGTTGACCTATTACATTCACATTTAACAGAGGCTTTCATTTTTTTAACAAGGTTGACCTATTACATTCACATTTAACAGATGCTTTTAATTTTTTTTAACAAGGTTGACCTATTACATTCACATTTAACAGAGGCTTTTATTTCTTTTCACAAGGTTGACCTTCATTCACATTTAACAGAGACTTTTATTCCTTTTAACAAGGATGACCTATTAAATTCACATTTAACAGAGGCTTTTATTCCTTTTAACAAGGTTGACCTACTACATTCACATTTAACAGAGACTTTCATTTTTTTTAACAAGGTTGACCTATTACATTCAAATTTTACAGATGCTTTTAATTTTTTTTAACAAGGTTGACCTATTACATTCACATTTAACAGAGATTGTTATTCCTTTTTACAAGGTAGAACTATTACATTCAAATTTAACAGATGCTTTCATTCCTTTTAACAAGGTTGATCTATTACATTCATATCAAATAGATGTTTTTATTCCTTTTAACAAGGTTGACCTATAATTTTCACATTGAACAGATGCTTTTATTCCTTTTAACAAGGTTGACCAATTACAATCACATTTAACGAGGACTATAGTAAATACAATACCTTTTAACAAGGCTGCTTGATCACAAGTTAATAATGAACAGAATCCTGGAATGCTTTTAGCAAAGTCAATATATTGATGAACTATGACCGCATACCAGCTAAAGAGGTCATCTATTTGTTTCATTCTACCATCAGCATCAATTCTTGTTGTTTTGTATAAGTTATAATAGTCTCTGTCTGGTAACCTCCTCAGTTCACCAAATACTTCCTGTTTCACTTTGAACTCTTCCTGTAATTGAATGTTTATTGTTTAAACATGACATTAATAACCATATTATTATTTGATTTTTAAAACATATATGTAGTAATGAAAGGTTATGAAAATGTTGGTATAAAATTAACTTTCTATCCATAAGTTGATAGCAAGATTTTGAAAAATGCAAAAATGCCTATATAAAACAATCAATATTATAAAGCTTGGTTATGGAACATACATGTGTTCTTGTCAATGGGGAATGGAACATACATGTTTTATTATCAAAGGGGAATGGAACATACATGTTTTATTGTCAAGGGTGAATGGAACATACATATTTTCCTGTCAAAGGGGAAAGAAACATACATTTTTTCCTGTCAAGGGTGAATGGAACATACATGTTTTCCTGACAAGGGTGAATGGAACATACATATTTCCTGTCAAGAATGAATGGAACATACATGTTTTCCTATCAAGGGTGATAGGAACAAACATGTCTTCTTGTTAAGGGTGAATGGAACATACATGTTTTCCTGTCGAGAGTGAATGAAACATACATGTTTTCCTGACAAGGGTGAATGGAACATATATTTTTTCTTGTCAAGGGTGAATGGAACATACATGTTTTCTTGTCAAGGGTGAATAGAACATACATCATTACATGTTTGCCTGACAAGGGTGAATGGAACATACATGTTTTCCTGACAAGGGTGAATGGAACATACATATTTCCTGTCAAGAATGAATGGAACATACATGTTTTCCTATCAAGGGTGATAGGAACAAACATGTTTTCTTGTTAAGGGTGAATGGAACATACATGTTTTCCTGTCAAGAGTCAATGGAACATATATTTTTTCTTGTCAAGGGTGAATGGAACATACATGTTTTCTTGTGAAGGGTGAATGGAACATACATCATTACATGTTTGCCTGACATGGGTGAATGGAACATACATGTTTTCCTGACAAGGGTGAATGGAACATACATGTTTTTCTGACAAGGGTGAATGGAACATGCATGTTTTCCTGACAAGCGTGAATGGAACATACATTGTTTACTGTTAAGGGTGAATGGAACATAAATGATTTCCTGTTAAGGGTGAATGGAACAATGTCTTGTTTTCCTGTCATGGGCGAATGGAACAATCTCTTGTTTTTCTTTCATAGGTGTATGGAGCAATATTTTGTTTTCATGTCATTGCATTTTGATTTCTCAGCTTATTATTCATAAAAAAATCACCATTTGTTGAATATCTAGAATTAGTTTTAACTCAATGATTGGCCGAGTAAAGTTTCCCCAGTCAAATACATGACGAGTCTGTTTGAATATAAATGACAAAAATTTAAAGATCGAGTGTATGATCTTAAGAAATTAAGATAAAATATATGATAAAGTTGCTAATTAAATCATGAGTATCAGAAACTTATCAGATTGCGATATTTTTTTAAGATGTGATTAAAACAAAACATCAGTTACTTGTCAAAACTATTTATTTCTTTATGAAATAGCTTGATCATATTAGCTTTAGGTGTACTTTTTGTCAAAAAATTCAAATATTTGATAAAGTATGTATTTTTTTCATTTGAATTATATGAAAAGGACTAACTTAACCTATCTACGTGGTGACAAATGCCCTTAACCATCAGGCGTCAAACGGTCATTTTCATCTACCGTTAGTGTCAAATTGGTTTAAACTTTATCGTGATTTGTCAAAATATCCTGATCGTTATTCGTCAGAGGTCTCAAATAATCTTCCGCTACTGTTATTTTTGGAAAAAAAATTAATCTGATTCGTCAAAATCATTCGATTTTTGTATCTTCATAAAGAAAATGTACATTTTATCGTCATGCACCAACAATTACCGGTACGTCATTTGGCAAGATTTTTTACCGTTATTCGTCATGAAGGTATTCTCATTACGATCCTCATCTACTTACTGATCCTTTTTTCAATTTCTGTTTCACTTCATCTGCTGAGTATTTTACACTGAAGATCTGGATACAGTCCATGGCATGAGTCAATGATGATACAATACCATCAATGTCAGTACATGTATCTTCACTTAATTCTACTTCCTGTGACAGACGGTGTTCAAGATTTTTAAATATACAATCATCACCACAGTCTTCTCCACCTACATTTAACCATTCCTTTTTCATAGACTCAACATCCCCATTATGATGATTTATATAATTTTTAACATGCTGTATTGTTTTACTTTCATCACAATCAGAGGAATAGATTGTGTTTTTACACAAATGACTAAGAATTGTCGTTGCAGACAAATGGACTTTATCCCTCTCACCAGGCAATGAAGATTCATGACCCTGGAAACATGAATGATGTGATGAATTTTCAGCACCAAACACAAGATTTGTATCTGCCATTGGATGTTTTATCTTTTGAAGTGTTGTTCCGCATTCTATCCCGTTCAGATGTGTTGGTATGGCTGTCACGTTCTGTGATTCATCATCGCCAAGTGTGAGTAGTGTTTCCTGATTTTCAAAAATGAGATGTGGAGATTGAGTCTGATCATCTGATTTTGGCTTCACAATGATAGGATCTCTGTTTGTTTCATCTGACAGTTTATCTTCACTAGAACCGTGTTGTAACAGTTCATTGCTTAATACAACTATCTGGTTTGTTGTATGGATTGTTTGTTTTCTTTGTTGTTCTTGTCTATCCTTGTATTCAATCAATCTGTCTGCTTTATCATTTATTGTGACTCTCCCCATCTGAATAGCTGAAATCAGATTTTTTTTTATCTAAAACAGAAATTAAATCGACAGGTCCTGTTTACACAAAGCTATATATAAGCAGAGTTGACTTAACTACTAAAGGAAACCACAAAAACTGTTCAGAACTGAAATAGGAGATGTGCACAATTATACATTATGACACACAGACAGAATTGAACGATTTGACTACTGACATACAATGAATAGGTGCTAGTTTCTTAGGTCTCAATCTAAGAGAATTATTTTAGTTGGAGATTTACCATGAACCTATTTTGTGCTGTTTTTTATGACATTTTTTTTTCTGAATTTTTGCCAAGTATAAAATAAGGAGATTAATGTTCGCAACAGTCTTACTATCAACATAATGATTTATGAATTAGTTCCACGAAACAATATTTTTGATGCTTGAGCACATGATATTATGTCCACAAACCATGGTCAGATGATAATTGGACAGTTTTTACAGGACAAACAATTAAATATAATCACATTTAGTTAAATAATATTAAAAGTAAAATAAAACCATCAATTGATATCTATCAAAGTGAATTATCGGAATTGAATGAGGTTTCTCCAACATACAAGATTTTAATAAGGTTAAGCACCTTCAGAATAATAGAACATGCTATTTATAAATTACAAGGAAGTAAATAAGTTTTACCATCAACAGACATTCCAACCTCTGAACATTTCCTTAGTCTACACCCAAAACATTTTCTTGTCTTTTCTGTAATATGACAGTCTTGTTGTAATTTGCATTCATATGGAGATTTTCGAATAAATGCTCTCCTAAAAAATCCCTGAAAATTATTAAGGAATAATTAAATCATTATTGTACATTTGAAAACAAGATCTATGAATATAACAATTTTAGCGAAATTAGTTTGCTGTAACTAAGTTTCTTCCTTATTTCAAGTAATGAAATCCATAAAATACATAATGTTCTTCTTTATTTGATAATATTATGTCATGTATGTGTTGTATCATGCACTGCTAACATATATTGTCAAATCTATTATAAATGAGGGGACTCTGTGGCCGTGAGGTCTAAGTAGTTCATATACTGTATCACTAGCCTGACAATACTGAGGTTGTGATTTTCGAAACTTTCAGTGGCAGGTGCCTTTGACTCAAATCTTAATTGACTAGTATTATCAGTTTTCCTGCTGAAGGTCCGTGGTTCTCTCCCTACACTTCGGCTCCCTTTACCATTAACAATAGGGCACAGTCACGCTGAAATGTCTCGTCTGTTTTACTTATCATTGAATTCATGTTGAAAGTCTGTAATATGAAGGTTTTACTACAAGTAACATATAAACTTAACATTAACAATTTTCCATGAAAAAAAGGTCAGACAAACCCTGCCAGACAGACATGTACAACTTACAATCATTCTATATACCAAATATAGTGGTGCCATTAGTAATAGTACCTGAGCAACAGATCAAACCACAAAATCTTAACATTGACCAATTAACCATGAAAATGAAGTCAAGGTCATATGAACCCTGCCAGACAGATATGTTCACCTCACAGTTGAATTGTTCCATACATTAAATATAATTAAACTATTGCTTATAGTATCTGAGAAAGAGACAAAACCACAAAAACTAAACATTGTCCAATGAACCATAAAATTGATGTCAAGTTCAGATGAAACCTGTCAGTCGGACATGTAACACTTACAATCATTCCATACACCAAATATAGTTGACCTATTGCCTATAGTATCTGAGATACGGACTTGACCACGTAACTTTAACCTTGATCACTGATCCATGGAATAAGGTCGAGGTCAGATGAACCCCACCTGACGGACATGTAGACGTTGCAAGGAACCCATATACCAAATGTGGTTATCTCATTACTCATAATAAGTGAATATTTCACTTTCCAAAAAACTGTGTCAAAACACCATGATAATAGCAAACAGTGATGAAAGTGGCATTAAACACCAACAATCAATCAATCAAATCTGTAATAAAATCAGCTATACAAATTTTAGATCCTTATAAAGCATCTTGATCTGATATCATAAACCATAAAATTTTGAAAATGTGCACTGTTAAGTAGCAATCCTTTATAAATAATATCAAATAAACCTGTGAAGAAATGCAAATTTCCCATCAGTTGGATGATACCAAATATAATTTCAAATTTTAAAAAGGGAGAAAGTTCATTTATGTCTAACTATAGACTAATATCATTTATAGCTTGTGTTGGAAAAATAATGGAGTGAGTTGTCTATAAACCTGTAAACAAATATGACTATCAGTCTGGTTTTCTTTCAAATGTTGAACAGTTCACCAGCTATTAGAAATTTACATTTGTATTTCAAACTCATTTGAAAATTAAAAAAAAGCCATTTCTTCATATGTGACTTTTCAAAACCTCAATAACATTTGACATCAAGTATTATTACATAAAATGAAGTCTTACGGTATTGAGGGCAATTTATTGTAATGGCTTGGTAGTCACTTGAACAACATACAACATCAATAATTATCAAACAATCCTCCTCTGAACTTTGCAATGTTTCAGCTGGTGTCTCATAGGTTTCAGTATAAGGACCTCTTTTATTTATCATTGATATAAATGATATTACTGAAAATCTTCTTTATGTAAATTATTTGCAGATGACACACCTCTCAGCTACTCTGATTATGACATGTTACAGATAGAATCAGTAAAAGGTCACATGCTGAGAGATCTGAGCATTTGTCTAAGAAATGGTTGACAATCTTTATAATATGACTGTTATACTGAATGTATATTTGCATTGCTGTGCGGCGTGTCTCAGTGTTTTGTGCATCCACCATTAATGAATTTATTTTGATGTTTCTGTTATGGTTTCGGTTGGATAATCTATTATGTCTTATCGTTTGTAGTCCAATTAAATATAAAATTGCCTTTCCATACCATCATTGTCATGAAAATTGTTTGGACGAATATTGTGAAAATAATTTTCTAAAGTTCGAGATTGCATGTTAGTTACGTTAGCTCGCACTGTTTTTGATATCCTGTGGTGTTTTTTGTTGATGGGATATCTTCGTTGTTGTTCTGTGGTTTGCATGTTGTATCGACTATTATATTATTTGTTTATTCGTTTCTCTGTTATGAATATTCTTGCGTGTGTTTGTGCTGTATTTCTGTCACGTAGTGTTTTAGCGAAATTTGTTAACATTGTCATAAAGCGGGAGGTTTGGCATACCATGAAACCAGGTTCAACCCACCATTTTTTCTTAAAATGTCCTGTACCAAGTCAGGAATATGGCAGTTGTTATCATATTTTTCGTTACTATGTGTGTTGGCATTTGTTTTTGTTGCACTTCGGTGTTCCTGTTGTTCCTTTGTTTTCCTCTTATAGTTGATGTGCTTCCCTTGGTTTTGGTTTGTGACCCGTATTTGTTTTCTCTCAATCGATTTATGACTTTTGAACACCGGTATACTACTGTTGTCTTTATTTAAGGTTTCATAACAAGTGAGAATTGGATATCACTTGATATCAACTTGGTTTATTCGATTTCTATTAATTATTATAAAATAACGAGAATAGATATCAAGCAATATCCTATTCTAAAAAAATGTGAATCTTATTTCTCTTTTTGTTAAATATATAATTCTGCAATACACTGTTCTCGTCTTTGGCATCTAAAGAGTTTAAAGTCATAGGTCTGCTTCTGGCATCAATGGTTTACATCAGACATTTTTCAATCTTTTGGTAGACTTCAGAATAGAATCAAATTGACAAAACGAAGATTTTCATTTAAAAAATTGAGTATTTTCTCATAATAATGAAGAAATCCCATATCTCCACTGCCATTGAGGAAAAGAAATATGTTTTGACTTTAAAAAGTCATAATTGACCTAATGAATAGACAATGGAAAAGTGGCAATTTCGTACCACATTGCAGGATAGGTCAACCAAATTAACCTATTTTCTTATCACTTATTCATACTCATTTCTTTTGCATATCAAAGCAAATAAAATGTGTTTAAACTAAAACTAAACTATCAAATTCATCTTTTGAAATGTAGGAAGTTTGTTTGCTGACATTAAATAATCTTACTTTATTAGGATCTCACTGGAAAATTTCTTTATGCATGTCATGTTGCATCACATTCTTATAAATTTACAAGAAGTTTATGTTTTTATAAATTTTTTATCGTTTAAAAAACTCAGAAATGTCCAAGGTTTCATATCTCAATATCTCAATATTTTGTTCATACCCTTAAACATTTTATGGACATTTTTGGTTAGGCAAAGTTGTTAATCTCCACACATATTTGGTTAAGCACCGTCCAGATAATTTCTCAAAACAGTCCAGGTAAAATATTAAAAAAATCAGTTTATCAACCTGTCTACCTGTTTTCTGTCAGGAGGCCAGAAAGTAAGAACCACCTTATCTATATATATATATACATTGTGTATTTCTTTTACCAGACTATTTAGGCCACTCTTAAAAAAATTCGTTTGTCTATCTGAGACTTGTAGGGTTCGGTAGGTAAAGATTTTTTTGGCCAACAACATAAGTTACATGTTCTAGACAAGAAAACGACGTTAGAGCAGGAAAAAATCTTTAAAAAAAATTTGAAACGATTCGTGTCATAAAATTTTTCAGGTAGGCTGCTTTTTAGGTGGGTAGGTAGGCAACATCAAACCATCTAAATTTTATTTTTGGCCTTATCATGAATCTTTTGTATGATTCACATATTATCAATAAAATTCAAATGTGAAACACACACTTACTTTACATGATTCACAAGTCATCACCCCATAATGGAGACCTGAGCTTCTTCCACCACATACTTTACATGGAGGTAACTCGTCCATTCCTTAAATAAAAAGAAAACAACAGGTCTACAAGTGTACCACTAGCACAGTTATGTGTGATTAATACTGATGCAAGCAGTGCAATAAATATTCATTGAACATCAATTTTAAAATTTTCATACCTGCCAATTTTTCAAAATCCCCATGGGTATATTAAGTGAAACAGGGCATTATGCTCCTGTTATATTGTCAAAAGTGTTTTTAATTATACGGCGGTATACTACTGTTGCCTTTATTTAATTAGCATGTATGAGCTTAAATACCCTTTTAACTCATTTGAATGTCTGTTTTGAGGTGTTCAGTTTATATAATGAAGAATTTCAAAATTCATGTCAACACCTCTCATGGGGGAAATCCCACATAAATAGTGAAAGTTGGCAGATCTGAATTTTGACAAAAGAATTGATTTAGTAATTGTTTATCCATTAATACAAAAGTTTCGTTTAATTCCAATCACTATGAATATTTTATGTATTTTGCAGACAATTTCAAAATAATTTTTTTTTATGTGTGTGACTCAATTTTGAATACCAATATCAATTAAAATGTTAATTATTTTGAATAAAAACTGCCTTATTGGGTAATTAAGGTGATCTACTGACAGAGATGGCTATAAAACCAATATTTGTACTAGTTATTTCCTTTCGGAGGGACATAATGTATCTATGTTTAATGTGTGATTCTTTTATATCCTTTTAATTACAAAGGTACATATCATTTAAGCGAAAAAAAACTTTTGATGTCATTAGGTATATTTCAAAATAAAAATTGATTAAACTGCTTGAATTTAATTTTCAACTTATCATGCTTTGCAGAGGCAGTTGTCTTGTTAAGAACCAGTCTACAATTTGCCAAGGGAAACAAATTGTGTAAATAAGTGCGTAATAACAGAATCAAAGAGTGACTATTATTTCCATAAATGAGTTGCCTCTAAAATTTTACCAAACATTTTAATACATATTTCTAATTGAAATGTTCTACATATCGTAAAAAATGTTTAGTTTATTTCCATAATAAACTTTATTATATACTTAATAGTAAATACAGGTAAACTGTATGTGTAATACAATCAATGGCAATCGTGCTGTATCAACCAATCGTGATGATATCGATATCAATCACGGTTACATAAGCTTTATCAAACCCCTAAAACGTTATGAAGTCACATCATCGATATCAGTCACACTTATAAAGGCTTTATCAAACCCCAATCTGTATTACATCAACTCACGGTGGGAAAAACATCCACTTATTGTATATAATAAAGTGTATATGATATGGTTTTTTTTTAATATCACACACCGTATCAACCCTTAACCACTATAATCCCTCTAGCAGAGCTCTTGGAATTTTATTGTTGTCTCGGGTTGATACGGGTGTGATATTGAAAAAGCCATATGATATTCTTTATATAGTCAAAAAGGGAAGTAATATTTACAATTTTAGAGCTCATTCAGTTTTCACGAGTACAGCCAAAAACTTGCAAATAAAAGAAAATTTCAGGGAGCAACTCCAAAACAGGTGACCTTGAATGAAGAACAGCCATAAAAGCGCTGTTCCTTTGCTGTTTGTGTGTTTTTAGCTGTGCATGTGCTGATTTTGTGTCATGGATGGATACCCCATATCCTTTGTTTTTTTGTTAACAGATTGTTTTTCGATTTTCAGGGTAGATACAACTTGCCAAGCTGATCCTTTTTGTAGTTTTCACCTTTAACATGTCTCCTCTAATTTTCACGATAATAGCCAATATGACTGCTAAAAATTGGGGAAAAAGTTGACGTTTCAGGGGCAATAGCTTGGATTTTTCTCTAATTTTCAGGGTGGATACATCTTATCATCATGCTGATCATTTTTGCAATTTACACATTTAAGCTTACTCCTATCGTTTTTGTAACAATGGCAAGGAAATGCCCAAAAAGTTAATATCAACATTTCAGGGGCAATAATTCCAAAATAGGACAAATATTTACAAACATACTTCAATTTTTTATGCATTTTTATAAGTTTCCAATGCTATTAATAATGAAAATGTAACTTATTTTCATTCTGCCTAAGCGTTTGTGTAATGGGCATAGAACCAGTTCGTTGTGTCCCCTGTGTTTTAAACAACCTGAAGATTTCATGCACTTTATTTTAAAATGTAAAAAAACATTGGAAGAAGCTAGATCAAAATGTATTCATTAACTAAGAAGATTACTTTTTGAGAAGATACAATAACCACTTCTGAATGACCGATTTGAATATGGCGTTGTCATTTTATTTTCGACTAATCAGTTTGAATGTCCTTTTGGTTCCTTCCCCTCTCTTTAAATAATAAAAAGAGTTTAATATAAATATGCCCAATTCAAATGACATTTCTGTTTTTGATGTTTGGGTCAGTCTATTTAGTTACTAGATTCAGAAGCTGCGAGTGTGGTAGATGAGTTAATGTCATTTGCTGTATGGAGCAAGATTATTGATTTTAAATGTATATATTGGTTCTTTGATCTTCTATGGTGTAAGATGCCATGTTTTTAAGTATTTGGATATAATTTGATAGAAAAGTTTCATAACGAAAGAAAAACTTTCATATTGTATTGATGTAAATAAGTGCGGTGATGGTATGATGCATTTATATTATTCATGTAAAAAAAAGATTTTAGATTTTAACCATTCAAATGTGGGATGCTGCTGATGACAAATTGTCTTTAAAGTTGGGAATCTACACTTCAAGAAGTGTTCCATTTGACAAAGGTGGATTTTACAGTATAGGTAACAGCAAAGACATACTACAATATTATTATACAGTATTATATGTCTCAGAGCTGCCAAGTCTCATGCAATAAGCGTGAGACTCATGCTTATTTGGTAGCATTTTCCTTTGATCTATTGTTTTTTTCTCTTTGATCTTTACAATTTTGGCCAAATCTCACGCATTTGCTTTATGAAAACTTGACAGTACTGATGTCTCTTGTAACAGGCCAATCGGATAGATATTAGAAGATGTGGTATGAGTGCTAATGAGACAACTCTCCATCCAAGTCAAAATGTATAAAAGTAAACCATTATAGGTCACAGTACGGTCTTCAACACAGAGCCTTGGCTCACACCGAACAGCAAGCTATAAAGGGCCTCAAAAATTACTAGTGTAAAACCATTCAAACGGGAAAACCAACGGTCTAATCTATATAAAAAAACGAGAAACGAGAAACACTTATGAACCACATCAACAAACGACAACTACTGAACATCAGATTCCTGACTTAGGACAGATGCAAACAATTGCAGCGGGTTTAAACGTTTTAATGGTACCAAACCTTCACCCTTATCTGAAACAATAGTGTAACATCACAACATAGAAAGACACACTATAAAATATCAATTGAAATAGCTTAACTCAATCAAAAGACATATTAACAGACTACTTTAACAGTCTATAGTAGTCTCAGGGTCAATACACAGAGAAAACACTATTCATTTTTTGGAAAAACAACTCTTGATACTGCATGCTGAAATACAATTTGTAACATTCTCTCAACGCATATGGCTCTACATTTTAATCAATATTTTCCAAATGAAGTAACAGGGGGAATTGGGGTTATCAGGTCCGTTCGCTCCCAATACACGTTCGCACCTTACGCCTTCGCACCCCACACGTTCGCCCCCTGGGTCCGTTCCCACCTTGTTTTTATTCAAATACCGATAGAATTATTAGATGTTTTTTTAGATGTATAAATCAAATTATTTATATTTTCATTAATACATTTCATTTTTGGGGGGATTTGATGAAGACTGTATGGACCATCAAACAAACCAGTTGACGATTTTCCGCCACAGTAGACTTTGAACTTAGATTACAATTGAGACTGTTATTTGAATTTAATACATTAAGTCTTAAATAAACTGTTTATATTAATGCATATTAGATAGTATTGGTGTGTGAATGGTATAATATGATGTTTCAGTATTTTGTTTTTTAAATATTTAGTGCTCTTTTAAATTTTATAAAGTAGTGACTCTCAACATTTAAGTGCTGTTTTTTAAATGAAATAGTTCATGATTTGAATGATTGTGTAAAGTGAAAGTGCATGAAGTAGCAGTGGTGGATCCAAAAAGAGGGGGGGGGGGGGTGAGGGGTTCAGGAGTAGGAACCCACCCCTTTTTTTACGATTAATGCTCTTTTGAATGTGGACATACAGTCAGGGGTACTACTTGTACAAGTTATTATTATTTACTTGAAGAAGTAAATATTAATATACTTATATAAGTATATTTGCAAATTACTTATATAAGTGTATTTTATTTACTTGTATAGGTAAATTATTTTAATGGCTTAGTTATGTCCCTTAGACAAGTAAAACAGTCATACTATCTTCTTTTCTTGAATTTCTCAGGACTTCTTTGCTCTAATAGAATTTTTAATTGTTTATCCTTTGCAGATGTCTCTATTAATCATTTAAGTGTAATTTCATGGACAATGAAAACCTCACTTATCTGTTATCTTCAAAACACTGCTCATTTACAAGCCTGAGACCAAGGGGCAATTTTTGAAGGCCTTGCGCAATTACTTAAGATCTTTGCGCAATTAGTTTCTTTGTTGAATTAATGAGATGAAATGTTGAACTCTAATAAAAAATTATGAGCTAACAAGAGAAAAATTGTTAAAGGCATATTTTTACATCCCAAAACTTGAGAATTTTAGGGATTGTAAAAAAAATTACTTATACAAGTAAAGTTTTTGAGAAAATTAAGGGGAGATTATTCAAACCTTATAAGAAAATATGAATATAAAAAATTTACTTATAGAAGTGAAGTATATTATTATTTACTTCTTCGAGTAAATAGAAATAACTTGTAGTAGTTGTACAAGTAGTATACCCCAGGCATGACTGACATATGGTTGGACCCCCCCCCCCCCCCTCCCCTTATTTTTAAATAACTGACTGGATCCGCCCCTGATTACATTTTTAGAATGTCACTTTTCTTTGAACAAGGATTTGAAATACTTGTTTTGAAACAATAAAAAAAAAAAATATTTATAGCAACAAGCTAGATTTGTATAGTCCAAATAATTATGACGTCTTGAAAGGCTTTTTTTTTTGCTGTGACGCCTTCCTACGGAGGAAGCCTATGTAGAAAGGCCTCACAGCAAAAAAAAAATAAATAGGAAGGCGTCACAGCAAAAAATCAAATAGGAAGGCGTCACAGCAAAAAAATATAATAGCCTTTCAAGACGCCATAATTATTTGTACTAGGATAACTAAAACACGATTTAAAAATTATTCAACACAAAACCAATAAAAGGTAGCGAACGTATGGGGTCCGAACGTGAAAGGGGGTAAACGTGAATGGGAGCGAGCTTGATTTTGGGCGAACGGACCCGGATTCGAGTTGGGGGACCCCCGGGTCCAGGCAAAACTATGTGAATTTAGTTGTTTATCCTATCTACATTGAACTTAATTGTTGTAAGTAAATTGTTGACGGATTTTAATTGTCTCATTTGACACTGGAACAAACAATCCGCTGTATGTTCCTGTCTTTTCTACTGTCAACACTGTAAAATGTTTTATCTGTGGTTGACCAGGAAGGTTAAACAGTCTACAATCTAGGGGAGATAATATAGTCTGACATTTTTTTATTTTATCAATAATTTAATAGAAATTAACATCATATCACTTAATCAAAACTTTCATTTTGATAAATATAAGATCACAACGAAACACCAAAGAAAATAAATGGTTGAGAAATACATATTTTCAGAACGCGTAACCGGCCTGCTCAAAAATATAAAGAAATACTCCCGGTATTTGGAAGTCAGAAAATAGGTCGTTTGAGAACAACACAAAACGCGTGAATATATCTGGTAATTCTTTTTTTATGATCTTGAAAAAGGAACTTGTTTTGAAAATGGCGCAGGAACTTAATGAAACGTTTCTAACCAAAGTTAGTCAAACTATTATCAATGTTTTGTTTTTTTTAACAAAATATAAGAAGAAAACCAGTCTAGCAATATTTTGAAAGAAGTCATTTAAAGGTATCTGTTTATGGTACGGTTAGTAAAGAAACGGTATTGGCTACTAGTATTTTGGAAAGAAAATATTTCCAGATGATAAGAATGATACGGAAGTCTTCAGTTTAAGGAAAAATTGCTTTGCTGTAAGAATCGCCAAAACAGGGAACAAGCTACCAGATAAGGTTATAAAAGTCCCATCAATAAAAGCTTTTAAGAATAGACTGGAAAAAGCATTGGGAAAACGAAGAAATCTTTTATTCTGATTATTGAGCTGAATTAACCGGAAGCAGCAACAGAAATAATAAAGATCAAAACATAATATATGAGTCTGGCGAAGAGTAACCATTAGGATCATGTAGTGGAAAACAAAATTAAGTAACATTTAGTAAGGTACGAATGAAAATTTAAAAAGGTCGGCAGGTAAAAAAAATCATTAGATTTTTAAATCTTTGTCGGCGAATATCAAATCTGGCACAGGCAGTTTCAATCTATAATGATTTTTTTCATAAACCACTGACATGAAATTCTTGAAAAAATACTTTTTTTGACATTGTCAATGATTATACTTTAATCTATATTGTGAGATAAACCACATGTATTTTAAACACTAAGTATGATAACCGAAACACATTTTAAGAAATTATCAGACAATTAAAGCATCATTTATGATTGTCTTGAAAGAGAGTCTTGCTCTTTTTTCCCTCTGTTAAAAAAAGAATTGACCTGGATGGTAAAAACAGACCCCACAGGGTGAGGGGAAAAAAACAATCTTTTTCGCATGACCTTTTATATTTCATCTCATTAATGGGTTTATCAATCAATGCCTACTAAAATGAAAATGAGGTAAATGTGCATGCGACAAAAATATGAATTATGGGTTATCAGTTTAATGGAAAAATGTATTTCTAACTTTCAAATGCAAAATGTATTTTTTTACGCTTTTCTGGATTATTAGTTCAGAGTTGTTATTTTTCCTTCGTATTGCTGGTAGGTTTTTTGATGGTCTGAGGCTAAAAGAAAAACACAAAAAAGTATTTCAGAATATCTTTTGAACATAGAAAAATTAGGATTTTTAAGGGGACTAATGAACTTAAGTCATATGAATGTCATGAATTATCATTTGGTTCAAAATAAAAACACTGAAGGTTTTAACTTGTCTTTTACATTTAAATGCATTTGTTATCATTTATGTCATACTCCATATGACTAAAAAAAGGACACGTAGCTTATCTTAAATTGTTTATTTCTTTTTTGGTTGTAGTTGTCTATTTTTACTTCACTTATTATTGTGATTTTGGATAACCAGACAAAACTATGAGATCAATTATTGTGATTTGGGAAATGCTGCATACAAATAATGCTATCATAACCCACCCCACCTAACCAGGGACAGTGGTGTAACAGCACAACATAAGAACATGTATTGATTATAATTCGTACATTGACAGTTTTGTTAATTTACAATACATTGTTTGAAGTGAGCAACATCAGTAGACTAACATTATGATTTACACTATATACTTTACAATATATATACTTTAAAAATAAATGCTATAACACCTTGATTAGAAGCTTTCCCTTTGTTTTTAAAAAGCAATTTTTTCTAAAACTTGAAAAGACCTGACAGCGGTAAAGCTCAGATAAGGAATGGAACACATGAATGATGAGTATGCAATATTTAATTTTACAAATACAATGTATACATTGTAAGTGACGAAATTGATCAGAAATACTGTTGTCATTTTGAAAATCATTTGTAAATGACAAGCGCTGGCTTAATCACTGCAAATGACTGCATGCAGACTTTGTTTTATATCTAGGTGCTGCAAGGCCTTAAAAATTTTCAATCTGCACAGGATTGTCTGTAAATTTTATGGTGTAAACACATTCATTTTTTGGCTCCCTGAAAAAAAATTGGATCATGCAGCCATGCATACATTGTAGACTGTCCCTCCTTTTGTCAACCATTTGTTATAGATTTCAGTAAGTCAATCAGATCATAAATAATGTTCTGTTTATGATGTTAAAACATACTCTGCTAAATTGTCAGATTTTATTATAGAAAAAAATTAAGGCACTTTTAATTCTGAATTCATGGGTCAGATAAAGAAATACATAATGTACATGATTTATTTATTTGATTACATAAGGATTGGGAAGGGATATTTTATTTTGTTTGTTTATTACGAATACTCAAATAGTTTACATGTACATTTTTTGTAGCTCAGAAAATGACATTGTTAATGTTGTTCAGCTACACACAGTGCATTTGAAACAAAAAGAAGAGAGAACCTTTTGAATTTAAAACACTGAATTTAGTTATATTCCTTACACAAGTTTAAGAGAAACAAGGATATGAATTTCATTTGAACACATACTGTACATTTCATATATATATTTCCCAAAAATTGAAAAATCAAAACAAATAATTACCTGTTAAATCCAAGAATTGCACTGAGATATTTTCCCTTAAAATACTACAGTAAATCTACAACGACGATGGTGGTTTTTAATGACCTTGACTACCCATGAGGATCTTGCACGGTCAGTCACAGTAAATCTGACAAATTTAAATACATTTATATCAGTAAATGAAATAGACAGTCACACCTGGAAGATTTTGTTTGGTTAATGTAGAATTTTAAAATTTACATGTAGAAAAATATACCTTTATATAAATTCTCCATGCACGTTTATGCACAAACATGTATGTAAAGGTGTGTAGAATTTTTAGTTTAAAAAAAAAATACATGCATCAGTGAGCACATTTTCAAAACAATATGACTTCACATTTTCTGAACAAAAATCTTAGCATTATTAATTTATCATTAGCACTACATATCAATGTTCAAATTTTTCTTCAAATTTTAACAAAATATCATATCAATGACAAATTTTTTCCTTCAAATTTTAACAAAATATCATATCAATGACAAATTTTTACCACAAATTTTAACTAAATTCAGACACAATTGCAAAAAAAATTAACAAATCATTTATTAGAGGGATTGATAAACAAGGAATGAATAACCTATAAACAAAGAAGCAATATTTTTTTCTTTCTTTATCATATAATTTCATATTTCTTGAAATACCAAATTTTAATACAGAATATTTACACTTCATGTATGCTTCATTAGAATTCATATTTTGATTGGCTGACAACAATTGCGAGTCACTTCATTGGGATACTTTATTTCCTTTTAAAAAACAACAGCTATGACTGCACGTGCAATCCATGACAATGAATTGAAAAACAAACCTGATTTTTGTGTTGAAAGTATTGTGATACCTAGGTATGCCAGTCTTCTTAACTATTGCTTCTCTTAAAGCAGCTGAACAGTATGGAGACCAAACATTATCATGGCTTCGATAGTCATTCATAATTTTTGTTAAGGAACACCATTTCCAAAGATGATTTTTCACAAATTATTTTATTTGTACATGATAGCTTTGCTGAATGAGAATGTTTTATCATATTTCCCTACATCTCTGTCTCTTCAAGAAATCTCCATCAAAGCTTTGTGATGTCAAAAACAACTACATCATATTGTTTCGATCTTGTTTTATTAAGGTTTGAAATTGATAGGATGTTTTTATTAATGCAAAATTTCCTGCAGGAAGAGCATTTTTGTTTTCGACTTGGAATTTTTTTTTTATCGCATGCAGGAATTGCAATGTTTAGTAAACAAATTTAACACATGCAGGAATTGCTGTAATTAGTATCACATTATTCTCAGTTAATAAATGCACACAATACATGTAGATACTAAATTTACAAATTCCACTTGTAATGCATAAAATGTTTTTAAACATCCATTTTGACATACTGGGGGATATCTTGAATAATTTATCTTGAGTTTAGAGTGAAGGGGTTTAAGTATTTGCTTATGAACACGGAATTACTTATGTAGCATGTTTGTTAAAATTGAGAATGGAAATGGGGAATGTGTCAAAGAGACAACAACCCGACCATAGAACAGACAACAGCAGAAGGTCACCAACAGGTCTTCAATGCAGCGAGAAATTCCCGCACCCGGAGGCGTCCTTCAGCTGGCCCCTAAACAAATATATATACTAGTTCAGTGATAATGAACGCCATACTAAACTCCAAATTGTACACAAGAAACTAAAATTAAAAATAATACAAGACTGACAAAGGCTAGAGGCTCCTGACTTGGGACAGGCGCAAAAATGCGGCGGGGTTAAACATGTTTATGAGATCTCAACCCTCCCCCTATACCTCTAGCCAACGTAGAAAAGTAAACGCATAACAATACGCACATTAAAATTCAGTTCAAGAGAAGTCCGAATCTGATGTCAGAAGATGTAACCAAAGAAAATAAACAAAATGACAATAATACATAAATAACAACAGACTACTACCCAGCAAACACACAACATTTTAAAAACATTTTTTAAATGTCATATGGACGTCTCTCACAAAATATTTCAATAAGATATCATTTAAACATAAAAAAAATGTTTATTTTATTGTTTTTGAAATGTTTTATTTCTAAAATTTAAGTAAAATGTTTTTACAACATTAACAAAATATTATTTGCTAATATCTTTTATTCATGTTCTCAAACATTGTTCTAAAATATCCCGTAGATATTTTATAATATAAAAAAATAATATTTTCTTCAATTGGTATTTTATATTTTAACAACATTTAAAGTAAATATTTTCCAAATATCGAAAAAACATTCTGCAAAAAAATGTTTTACAGAAAATATAGTTTTGCTATTTGCATAAAATGTTTTATAACGTAAAATTAAAATGTTTTACATAAAACATCTGAAAAATATCAGCTAAATGTTTTCTATAAAATATTCTGACATACACATTACTTAATAGTCTTACTGATATTTTATTCAACATTTTACGGATATAAAAATAACATTTTATTTAAACTTTATTCAAAACCCCACAAACAAAGTTTTGTGGAATTATCTCGTTTTTTTCAGGATAAGATATTTTACTACATTTCATCAATATCATGACAAGCAAGATACTATGGTTGAAATCCTTACTGAATTGATATCTTGAAGATCCTTGAAGTCAGATTTTATTCCTTCTTATATTACAATTCAAAAGAGTCAACATTAAATTAAGCCATTATGTATTAATAAACAATCACCTTTCTTTAATGTTTATTCATTTCGTTCGTGTATATTTTAGAAATTAAGAAATGAAAACTGTAACTGAACTAAGTTCAATTTTCGTATCGTTTATATGCCTTACGGAAAACCGACCTTTTCCGGAATCGACTTTTGTTTTATCACTGGAAATGATTTTGAAATTTGAATTTCGAAACGAAGACAGATATCAACAAAGAGAGCCAAGAAATTGTTTGTTACGCGATATATACTCACTTGGTAAGAATGATTAATCTGTTAAGATGAAACTTGTGCATTCATTGTGTGTGTTCAATCATAATCGGAACCACATTACATCTGTTTCTGGAGGTGCGGATCAAGGTTTTGAAAAAAGTGGGGCCCCTGCCCAAGGCAAGCAAACGTTTGGAGTGATACTTGTAAATAGTCTATACATTTATCTAATAAGTAGCTCCATAAGGGGGTCGGGGCCCCTAAAACCGCCACTGTTCAAGCATCTACGTACACCAATTATGAATTTGTTCATTGATATAAAAAAAATTATAAGGATATGTGGCTTGTGTGTTTGATTGCCAATACACCTTATCGCTATTTGTCCGCCATTACTGGCCATGGACATCACAAAAGTTCCCGTAAAATGTTGACGTCATATTAGAAAATATTTGACACCACAATTGAAAGTAATACACCTTATCGCTATTTGTCCGCCATTACTGGACATCACACAACTGTCACAAGTTCCCTTAAAATTTTGACGCCATCATAAAAAATATCTGATGCCACAATGGAAAAGTGATTGTTGTTTGACGTCAAAAGTTCAAGCAGGATAGATTCTCGGGTCAAGCGCCTATTTAGCGGGAATAGCCATAAGGTGTATTATTGTATGACGTATGCTGACGTAAAAAGTTCAAGCGGGACAGATTTCCAAATACTGAAATAGCGATAAGGTGTATGAGACAACTATCCACCAGAATTTAAATGACTTGGATAAAAGAAATTATAGGTCACTGTACGGCTTTCAAAACTGAGAAAACCAATGCCATATAGTCCACTTTGAAGCCTTGACAAACAAATGTTAAATTTTTCTCAACACAATTGAAACAAAACAACTAACTGCCTACATTAAATACACATTATGAAAAAGAAATTTGACAGACTTAATCCAACAACAACTATTGCAATAAGCATGACTCAATACCTTGTTTCCGAGGCACACAAACAAGTTACAATAACACTAATCATGCTAATATAAGCACCATTTGAATATGGAGATTTTTTTTTCTAGTAAAATCAGTGTATGTATGTATTTGCAAAACAGTAAATTAAATTTCCCGTAACAGCTTAATGAACATTACAAAGACTATGTAAGACTTCAGTACAAGCAAGATAATATAAACTGTTGCTTAAAATTATATTTATTGCTTCATACACACAATGTCCATACAATGTATCTTTTATTTTTTAACAGGAGCTAAAAGAAAAGTCACAAAGGACAAGTTCAATATGCAGGTTTACAATTTGGAAGTGGCGCAGGTTCTTTGGAATGTCTACAACCTTTCAGGAGAATTTTTTTTTGACGTAAGATTTTCATACAGAATTACTGTTATTCCATATTTAATTCAAATATTTAGCATAAACAATGCATTACATTCAAGATTAAGGGTATACAATACAGAAAAGATATCTGAATATTTGAATAATTTATTTTTTTTGTGATAAAATAGAAACAAGTTGTTTATTTAAATCAATCTTTTAGTCCAACAGTGTGCTTTCATAAACAACATATTTGCTTTCCTTTGAAGTATTTCAAATACATATAAACAATTCATTTAATGACATCTGTGTGTTTCTTGGAAGTTAAGTTATATTATTATCATCATTGCGAAAACAATGCGTAACACTTCGATAAGTTATTATGTGCCTATAGTATACTTCTAGGACTGTATCATATGCCCTTAGATACAAATGACAAGTTATAAACTATGTCACTCTACAGAGTTTAACACTTAAAAAGGACAATAAGATGTTTAATGACATTATGTAGCAGGGCTTTTAAAGGCCCCTACATGATACAATGCATTTAATGAAAACTAAAAAAAACAAGAAAAACAACAGCCTGATTTATACAAAACAATAAAAGAAAAAAAATATGATAGACAACAATCAACGAGTATAATCAAATAAGACTCTTGACTGGACACATATCTAGTCTAAAGTTTTTTATGTGTTTTTTTTTTTAATAACTAAATGAAGTTCAGCGTGGCATATTGCTCTCTCTTAACACAGTCAGCCATTTATCGTCCCCTTCCGACAGACTATCATCGTTATTTGTTTCAAAACTTTAAAGGGGAGGGGATGTATATCCTTCAGGCAACGTGAATCCTTCTATGATAAAGGAATGTGCAAGAAGTTTATATATGAATGTAAGATTAATTTTTTTTCAGAAGCATGGCACAGCAAGAAAAAGATATGACACACTACACATGCTACAAGACATTCCAAGTGATTTTGAATAAGACAATTGATTGACTTTTTCAATGTATTCTTAAATAAATCAAATAGTTGATGTAAAATGGTGTTTTGTTCTCATCTCTTCAGCCAATTATCAATGATTATTGACTTAAGATGTAACCCTATTAGAAGTGTAGCGTTTTAGTTTAGAAAGAGAAGTTGTATTGAAAAATCTGAATTTGGGACACAAGTTTTAGTCAATGTAACTTGAACTTAAAAATGTGTATAATGTTTGCATAATGTCCAATGGCATATATGTCATGCATGTTCAGGTTGACATATGCATGATGTGTTTAAGATAGGTAATAAAAGTTGAGAGTGAAAAACTAAACATTATACCATTGTGGTTGGAATGTGGGCTTTCTTGCACTGTCTGTCGTCTGTCCACCTATGTTTGTCGGATTTTGTCCAACAAATATTTTCATCACTGTTTTTCCCAAAACTGCTGATAAAGATGAGTTCATATTTAATGAGCTGCTTGATAGTGATGAACTGTGATGTGTGAACATTTTTGTATCTGGCACCTGTTTCCTGTTTGCTTATACATTGTATTTCAAAATGTTGAATGTTCTGAGACTTCTCAAATTTTTCATTACTTTAATTAGTAATGCTGATGAACAGAATGACTTCATATTTGGTAAGTGGTTTGACCATGATGAGTTGTGTCTGCCATTTTGGATGTGTCAAAATTTGTAGATACTTCTTGTTTTTAGAGACTTTGAATTGTGAATTTCATATGCTTAGCAAAACAACTGATTTATTCTTGTTTGTATATAGAATTAATCACTGTGTATAAATTAATTTAACTAATGATTTGTTATTTAAAAAAGCAGGAAACTCATTCAAAAGTACAGAAACTTTTATATTGATATGATCTAGATATCAACCAAAAACATCTTCTTGAAACATTTTGAAAACATTTTTTAGGCACAGTTTCACTTGCAAGAAAACATCCAAAAAACATTTTTATAACATTATTTGATGTTCATGATGTTTTTCAAACGTTCAGAAAATATTTCTAGAAAATATTTTTTAAAAGATTATCAAAATGTTTTATAGCCATTGTTTTTCACATTATCATGATATTTCTTTACAACATTTTAATTATATTATGCAAATATTTTAGAAAATATATTAGAAAACGTTTTAGCGATATATATTCTACCATACATTTAATGTTTTTCTCACATTTTTTTGTGATATTTTCATGACATTAGACACAACATTTTAAAAACATTTTAAAGATGTTTTTGTGTTTGCTGGGTAGCAGTTAACTGACATGCCAGCTCCAGACTTCAATTAAACTGATTGAAAGATTATGTCTTCATCATATGAATATCAGGCACAATCCTTCCTGTTAGGGGTTTAGTATCATACCATCATAACATATATGAGAAGAACATAACCCGTGTCATGCCAACAACTGGTTTTTAAATAAATGTGTTTAGTGCCGACGCAAAGACCCTATAAGTGAATCAATATTAACGCCAAAATATGCAATCTTTAATGACCTGACAACAGTATCGTAACTATATCCCTTCTTAATAAGTCTATTTAAAGGTTTTGTTAGCTTCAGAGGTGATTACTGACATTTTTGTGCTTTATAAAGAATATTTCCATAAAAAATTGGATGTGAAATACCTGAACGTATAAGAAGTCTGCATGTTGAGCTATATTTACGAATGATGTCCTTATACCGATGATAAAATTTAGTAAATGTTTTGACTAGTTTGTGATATCGAAAACCCTGGTGTAATAATTTTTCAGTAATACATAAATTTCTCTCGTTAAAATCTAATTTGTTAAAATGTTTATAGATTAGAGAGAATGATTGACATAGACCAAGTTTATTTAGTACTATTGTATTTTGTGTGATATGTTTCACTTTTATGTTTGAACATATTTAGTCAGTAATTTTGTCTCACTAAAATCAGTAGTTATTTTAAAAAAAAAGGATCTCACACCTGCTTCAAACATAATGGTACAGATATTTACTAATAACTTTTTAAGATTCAACTCAATTTCTATGTCAACAAATATAAAACTTTTTATTCACAGACATTTGAATCTAAACATTACTTAAGTTATAAATTTTGCTCAAGTTTAGTTGAATAATGTTTGATTGAATTAATCATTGTGGATCAAAAAACAATATAAAGTGTTAGTCAAATGATAATTTGTCAAGTAGTAATGCATAACTTTGATGTTAATGAATTAAATTTTCAAAAGATGAATGGAAAGTGAATGAAACAATGTTGCTATAAAAAATCTTTATTGAGTTTTATAGTAACTATGAATAATTAACTCATCAGATAAAGAATAGAAATCTTCTCTACCATTATTTCAGTTAAAAATCTTGAACTCTGATGTTTTTAACAATTGTAAAATTATTTAAACTTGATTACTGGTGAAATTTCTTTTAAGTACAATAAAGATAAAGATTGTGTAAACCATTATCTTTCATTTTGTTTTTGTATTAAATCTGGCCCAAGGAGATAGATAACCTTCAATTCTGCCTTTTAAACTGATTTTGTTGTCAATTGTTATTTTATAAAAAGTGCAATGTTTTTTTTTGTAAATATTAATAACGTTATGTAAATATCGCAATTAGAAAGGTAGATTTTGACACTGAATAGTTACCATTGTTTCCTGTTTATTTTGATTGTGTGTTTATTTATATGTACGTGATTCGGTGTATTTCTTGACATTGAATTTGTTATAAAAATTGTGATGCAAGTCTTTTTCACAATATTGACGTGACTGGGAAATGGTCCTTCCTCACATTGTCAATTTTACCTTCATATATTGTATAACCGCTCTGGTTTTGTCCTAGGCAAGGCAAAAACAATTTTTGGCCAGCTACAACTATATTTTTCCAATATCAATCGAAAGCACATATCTTAAATAAGCTTCTGACAAATGATTTTTAATTCTTGTTATTTCAGTCTTCGCAAAAACATTTTGACTTTCAAGCCCAAAAATTCTTTCATAGAATTTTATTGAATGTTTGAGGCCAATTTTTCAGAAAATAATTACTGGCTCATTAACATTTTTTACCTGTATATAAGCTGTAGGGCTTGTTGTTAATCATAAAAAATTCCAGAGTCATTCTTTTACAGTGAAAAATGTTGGTTTTTCAAATGCTTGTTTCTCAAAAATTCACTAATTTATTTATCCATCTGTTCATACATCTTTTTGCTAAGCTGTCCCATTTATGCCATTTGGCTTATGTTATTAAAGATGTAAAGTTCATTTTCATTGAACATACTGTGGATTCATTATTAATCTTTGGTGTAGGTGAACCACAAATTTAGATTTCACGAGGTACACATTTTCTTTATAAGCCTATATGTAGACTTTTGCGAAAATACGAAATCAAATATTCACGTAAATACAATTTTTCCTGTATCCTCAAAAATTGGTACCCATGAAAATAAATGAAAACACCAAGATGAGCTACACAAAATACATTTCGAAAGGATAATGTGACCTATATTTCATGGTTTAGCAGTCACATATCAATATTTTATTATAGTTTAATACACATTTATTATTGCAGCAACTTTCCATCATCAAATACTACAAAATGTGAGGTAAGGTACTACATGAGAGAAAGATGTTGTTACCTAGATATCTTCTTGTAAAAATGTTATCATCATGACTGTTCGAGTCATTGTTTTACGTTATGTTTTGAGATACCTAAGCCATACACATCACATGTGAAATATTTGATTATATTTTAAAACCAAATTTATGATACTGGAGCTTTACAACGCTTGAAATTTTCCTCTCCCCCCACCCGAGTATTGATGGAGTAATATGTCATTAAAGGAAGTCTAACCATCATTTTATGTCAGTATGTGTGAAGAAGAATAAAACCATTGATAATAGAATTGTAAAAAATTATCTTATTTATCCAAAGATTCTTGTTTTGTTGCTGTTTTCCTGTGATGTGTATAGTATCAATGTCTGGAATGAATCATGCAATATAATCAGGGAATGTACAAATATTTTGGGGCTTAAATGGAAACATATTAACGACACAAAAATAATCAACAGCATTTTTGAAAGTTGCAATAAAATCCAGTTCAAATAAGAAGTTTAACTGGTACTGTGGCTTCAGTATTATTTGTCGGATACCAATTTCATGTGTGAAGTTAATCTAAGAATTTGAATATTTAACAAAGTACCCAATTTCAATAGGCTTTTATAGTACTTTGGCAAAATATCTATGAAAATTTGATTTGTCCTCAATCCATGTAAGTTGATACCCACGAAAATAAATTAATCCACAGTATTGCCAAAAAAAGCTTGTTTACAGCTTGGACAAGCCATAGATTTAAAAATAATAGAAGGCATAGCTATTGTATAACAAAGGGCATTATGAGAAAATACCACTTCATATACAAGGAAAAATCATTAAATAGCTGCTAAAGTGCTGATTTCATGTGGATGGTGATTCTGTTTTTATAGAAAATTAAGCTGGAGTTACATACAGTTCTATTACACTATCCTGCATTGTGAATATGGCATTAAGGGTATACTCTGTAAGTGTAATTCACTTTACGGAAAAAGTCGGGATACAATAGAATGCAGCCAGATTTATATTTGGGTTAAATAAAACCAGAGAACTAACATGGTTCAAGAATACTGTAAATTCAGAAATTATTGTGAGGTTTTTATTAATGCGAATAATGCGACTTGGTGTGTATCGCAATAACAAGAAGTCGCATTCTGATATCTGATACATATATCTTTACGTAGATTTTCCTGAAAAGGCAATAATTAATCTCGCATTGTTGTCCGTTCTTAAAAAATCGCAATAATAAATGCACACAATAATTTCTGAATTTACAGTACATATCTCTTCAGTTTGACAATGGTTGTATTTTTTTTTTAAATTTTATAAGACATGAATTAAATTTTGTGATTAAAACCTTGTAAGAAAAAAAATCCAATTTTAATTCAACGTTGATATATATTAGTAAATGAAGTATATGTATTTCTTCATGTTTGAAATCCTTCTGGACTTCTCAGTACTTGGACTTGTCATTATTTTTTG